CCCGCATAGCGTTGGAACATAGAAAAAAGCGAATGCAAAAAAAAAAAAAAAAGTGCAGTCCTGGCCTTCCATAAGTAATCATGGTCCCCGGGGTGGGAAGATCATGACAGATTCCTGGGAAAAGTCCACCTCTCTCACTTGGGAGTGGGGAAGGAGGGGAGTGGTTGGTGTGGAAGGGCCTGGGTCCGGAATTAAGGTGACACCCTCCCTTCCCAAAGCCGTAGTCGCCTTGGGTTTTTACTGCTGCGGGCTCTGGAGTTTGTTATCTCGCCGCGTCAGCGCTTATCAGGGAGTTAGTGGATTTATCACCTCTTGAGTTTGTACTTTTCCTTACCGTGGCTTGTGTGTTATTGATTCCCAGCGAAAGTCTACTTTCTTTATCACCAGGATGCGTTTGAAAATTAACTTTACCTGGAGGCCCTGCAGTATCACCTGCAGTATCTTTTGAAGATAATCACTAGGTTTCTAGGTGAAAGGAAGAGGATTTTTAAAAAAAAAACTTTTTAGACTCATTCCAACTTGAAAAATAAAAGGTGCAAGGGTTCAGTGTGGGGTTTGTAATCCTAACTACTCTGGAGGCTGAGATGTGAGGATCCATATTTGAAGCCAGCCCTGGCTGGAAAGTCCATGAGACTCTCTTATCTCCAGCTAACCACCAAAAAGCCAGAGGTGAAGCTGTGGCTATTGATAGTAGCAGTTGCTTTGAGCTACAAAGCTAAAGGACAGCTCCCAACCCCTCTCTCCCACTGCCCAACCCCCTCCGGTACAGGCACTAGGAAAGGAAAAAGCCAAAAAATGAAAGACACAAAGCAAGAAATTACATAGGTCAAGTTATTGTCATCTTTTCTGTTCTGTTCTTTATTTCTGGAGAATTTGCATAGCCACCCTTTTAGGTTGTATAGTCAGCATTAAAATGGCAATATAGATTTTGTTTTTCCAGACTAGTTAACAAATTAGGTCAGTAAAACCAAGACTCTCAGTTACAGCATTCTGGGATAAAACAAAATGTACAATTATTAAGAGTTTTCCAGGGGCTGGGAAGATGGCTCAGTGGTAGAGCACTTGCCTTGCATGCATGAGGCCCTGGGTTCCATTCCTCAGCACCACATAAGCAAAAAGAAAAAAGCTGGAAGTGGCACTGTGGCTCAAGTGGTAGAGCGCTAGCTTTGAGCTGAAGAGCTGAGGGACAGCGCCCAGGCCCAGAGTTCAGGCCCCACAACCGAACCAAAAAAAAAAAAAAAGTTTTCCAGGTCTTTTTTCTTAACTATAAAGTCATCAAATCTATTACTTAAATTATGTGAATTTAATAGGGTTGCATAAACGTTTATGCATTGAACATAATAGAGTTGCATAAACATTGTTCTAAGTTTCTTGGTGTATTGGCAAGTTTTCACTGCCATTGTAAGTTTGTTTCACCACCAAAGAGAAATGTTTCATACTGTAAACTTTCATTCTTGGTCACAGCTGGAATTTGAAGATTGATCAAGGACTGTATTAATTTCAGGAATTGATTTGAAAGACACTGGCTCTGCCACTTAGCAGCCATGTAACCCTGGGTAAGTCACTTATACCTCACTCAGTTTCCTTTTTTATAAAATTATATGGTACCATCTAGTCCTTCCCAAAGAATTACAAGGATCAAATACACACTCATGTTTGATACAGTGTAGGTGTAAGAGTTTACTACTCAGTTACAAAAGTGATGTTTCATATGGCTTGGTTCTCATTTGCAATTGAGGGGGAAATTGTTGTATTAGAGAAAGTATCAGGTTGTTTTGTTTTTGTGTGTGTGTGTGTGTTGGACTTGAACGTAGGTTCTAGGTGCTGTCTTTTAGCTTTTTCACTCAAGGCTGACATTGCCACTTGAGCCACAGTTCCACTTATAGCTTTATGGTATTTAATTGAAGATTTAATTGAAGTGTCACAGACTTTCATACTTAGGCTGGCTTTGAATCGTGATTCTCAGATGTCAAGTCTCCTGAGTAGCCAAGATTACAGAGGTGAGCCACCAGTGCCTTGAGAAAACATATTTTTAAAATCAGAAAGTTTTAGATCTGCTTCCAGTTCTTGAACCAGTTACTCTTGTACTCTGCAAACTTCACATGGACTGTTTTACAACTGTGAGGTTCTTTGTCTGCAAAGAATACCAGAAATTACATAGGAATTACACAGACCCTACACCCTGGACTTGCACCTACAAGTCAAAGACTTCCTTCTATAGCCTCCAGCACTGATCAGCACATAATAAGAACTGAGTGAGTTCTACAAAACCCGAATATCGGGTAGTGTTCATTAGACTTTATGTCTTAATTACAGCTGCCAAATTAGAATATTCTCTCAGGCGAGGTGCCAGGTAAGAAATTATAGACAATGAAATTCATAGACATGTGATATTTATACTTTATTTGTGGTAATAATTACATTTAGCTAAAGATTTCAAATACAATATAGCTGCCATTAGTAAAGTGTAAAGTCTTAACTGGGTTCCAGTTTTTATAGACCATTTATAATTTAAGGGTTTTAAAAGTTCATCCAATTCTACCCTTGTGTTTTATACCTGAAGAATCTAAAACCTCCAGAGGTGATGACTTCCTAAAATCAGAAAGCTAACTAGGGGCACTTTTGTCTGGAGCAAAAGAAATATTTTGCCAGCAAGTGCTGGTGGCTTAGGCCTGTAATCCTAGCTACTCAGGAGGCTGAAATCTGAGGGTCTGGGTTCAAAGTCAGTTCAAACAGGAAAGTCTTTGAGACTCTTCTCTCTAGTTAACCACCAAAAAGCGAGAAGTGAGCTGTGGTTCAAGTGGAAGAGTGCTAACCTCGATCAAAAGGGTACCCAGGCCCTGTGTGTTCAAGTCTCAATACCAGCACACACACAAAAAATTTATTTTTCTAATACTTGTAGTCTTGTCCTAGTGAACCTTCATGATCAGCCATTTTGATCTTCTCACCAAACATGCTTATTCTCACTTTCTAAATAATGATAATGTTATGGTTGCCTCTGTTCCAATTAGGGTTAAGGTAAATCCAGGAAGGTACATTTACTAAAGTGCTATTAGTAATTGTGTTGGACTTACACAGGCAGACCACAGGGATCATTGAAGCTAGCAGCATCTTTTGAAAAAGGGATAACCATCAGAACCATAAGCTTAGTCTGATAGAGCCCCCAGTCTGGGGAGAAATGGCTTGTTGAAGGGGATCTAGAGATAGGAAGCCAGAACAATGACCCGCCTCACTATTCCTTTGCTCTGTAATGGCATTCCATTGGCTTAAAAGAACCAGAAACCCTGAGGGTAGAGGAGCCCAATGAGGTAGCCCCTCCTGGAACAGGAAGTAGGATGGAGATGACACTGGGGCCTAGCTGAGCAAGTGGTTATCATCTGACCTACTGCTTATACTGGAGGAGCCTTTTGCTTACTTTCTTAGTCCAAGGGAGCTCTTGTATCTGTCTCAGCTGATTTGACTATTAGCAGTTATCTGAAGGTTTGCCTTGAAGGTTGTTAAGTCGAAAGGGTTTCTTAATTCTTTTCAGCTCCTGGGAGTAGGGAGTTGTCTACTGAAATTGTTTATTGTTTTGTGTCAGTCCTGTGGCTTGAATTCAGGGCCTGGGCACTGTCCCTGAGCCTCTTTGTGCTCAAGGCTAGCGCTCTACCACTTGAGCCACAGCTCCACTTCTGGCTTTTTGGTGCTTAATTGTCAATAAGAGTCTCAAGGGCTTTTCTGCCAAGGCTGGCCTCAAACTGCAGTTCTCAGATCTCAGCTTCCTGAGTAGTTAGGATTACAGGTATGACCCACCAGCACCCTGCAGAATTTGGTTATTAACTGTGGGTCCTATGATCATTTGCTTTCTGTCTTACACATGATTTGTGGGGATGGGTGTTAACTTTTTCTTATGGTAAAATTTAGGCATTTAGACAAGCAGAAAGAATTTTTAGGTATTCTACACGCATCTTGATTGACAGAATTTATTGTTTATCCCAGCATGGTAATTTTTCTTTCATGCATGCGTGCAAGCATGTGTGTGTGCTGGTACTGGGGCTTGAACACAGGGCTGAGCACTGTCCCTTAGATTTTTCACTTAGGATCTACTACTTGACCTACAGCTCCACTTCTGGCTTTTAGGTAGTTAATTGGAGGTAAGAATTTCACAGGAGCCCCCCAGCTCACCATGATCATTTCTTTCAGCACTGTTTATGTCAATCTCTTGGAGTCCAGGGATAATCTATATTGTGATTGTTGTTAATCCCTTCTATTAAATGTACCTATAAATTTACATCCCTTGATATGGTATGCTTTATATGTGTGTATATATTTTATATAAATATGTTTAAATATGTTTATTATAGGTGTATAATTGTATATTTATATTTTATGTTATATATTATATCTAAATATATAGGTATATTTATATAAAACGTGATTGTATTTTATATATTTGTATCTATATGTTATGTTTGTAATTATATATATATTATATACCATATAATAAATATAAATATATCTAAATATGTTTAAATATATGTATATATAAATATACATATGTATATTAAATGTGTTTATTTTATATATTTATCTATATACACATACATATATAACATGTACTTATATATTACATACAATAATGCCTAGAGACAGACAGCTTGACTGGTCTAAAGTTTTTGTGAATATTTAACAAGCTTGTGTTAGTAACCTCCCCTCTGTGTACTTTATTGTGAGCTGTTTGCCTAATCTTTTGTTTAGTAGACTTGTGGTAATGGATTTTCACTTGTGCCTTGATTTTTTTTTTTTTTGCATGTGGCTGCAAACTAGTTTTTCAGGTGTTCCTTGATGCATTTTATGTTGTCATATCTGTTTTATAGCTACCTTACTGTACGTATCCCCAAATGTATACAGCCTCCAAAATGAGGTGCTTACATAAATGTTCAGGGAAAATGGGAGCATCTGCTGCAAATTTCCATTAGCTCCTAATGCCTGAGCAGACACAGTTTCAAAATGTGTTTTTTTTTATATTAGTCTTTTTCTTGAGATAAGATAAACTCCCTTTATTTCACTGTTGTGGGGTTGTTTTTTGTTTTTTGGGGGGGTTTTGTTTTGTTTTAGAATGGAACACAGTGAACTCTCCTTGGGGAGTGATTAGCAGTGTTCTGCCTCCTTCCTCTTAAATCTTGGAGAGCAAGAGAGATAACAGGAGTCACCTTTGTTACCCTGTGGGTGTGCACAGTCTGTTGAGCAAACATTTACTGTTAACCTCTAGACTATCAATCAGTATATGGGGACGTCACACTTCCTGGAGAGGGTAGAGAACCAAATCTTAGCCAAGAAACTGAAGGCTTATATTAACCTTATCATTGAACTAATTTGCATTTAACACTTCAACTGCAAAAAAAATCCATAAAATTAATAATGCTTGAAATTATGATCCTTTAGGGAAACCCATAGTCACAGGAAGAGTCACAGATCTCCTTGGCTTGAAATTGTGAAACCCTAGCCTGGGAAAAATGATTGGAAAAGTCACAAAAGGGGGTTTTTCAAAGTAACAATTTGCCCTACCCCGCATTGGCCTTCTCTTTAGTGACTTTAACAGTGTAAAGTCTTTCTGAGTAAGATGAAGAGAGAAACTAAGTGTGTGTGTGTGTGTGCTGTCTTGCATACTGGGGCTGGAACTCAGGGCCTGGGCATTGTCCCTCTTGCTCAAGGCTGGTGCTCTACCACTTGAGCCATTTTTTCACTTCCAGCTTTTCATTGCTTAATTGGTGATAAAAGTCTCATGAACTTTCCTGCCTTGTCTGTCTTCAAATCCCATAATCCTCAGCCTCTTGAGTAGCTAGGATTACAGACACCAGCCATTGGGGCATCCAGTGAGATATATTTTGGGGGAGAGACTGAAGAACCTATGGCCTTTGGGAGCTAGGATACTCTAGGCATTCTGCCTTGAAGGCAGTTAAGAAAGAAGTAGTCAGAAAACCCATCCTACAGTCTTACTACCAAGTATTGGCCTAGAGCAAAAGGTTTGTATATTTGTCTGATGTGGACCTGTATATGGAAAGGCTTTTGGGTGGCTGGTGGATAGGGCAAATTGTCCCTGTGGGGGGGTAAGCATTGTGAATTCTGGCTAAATAGGTTAGGTGGCAAGGGCTTCAGCTGTGTGAGGAACAGGAGCTAGGATTTACTACATAAAATAAGAATTTAGAGCCTGTACTAAAGTTTAAGAATAGTGCATGGTCTTTGGTCTGTAACTAATGCTACTGGAAATTTTGCTGGCATTTATTGAATGTTGAGTAAGACTCCAGAATGCACCTAAAAATGTGGAAAAACAAAATTTGTTGCTGGAAAAAAGCCTAAACTTAAAAATGTGATCCAAGTCAACAAATTAGTCTCATGTAAGCCAAAGGAAATGTTTGAAATAAAAGTGATGCCAGGAAATATAAAGAATATTCAAAACTTAGAAAGATAGAGTATTTTTCTTTCTAGCAGACCTGGGTTTTGAACTCAGGGCTTTATGCTAGTCGTGCTTGCAAAGCAAACATTCTACCACTACACCCACACCTCCAGCCCTTTTAGCTGTAGTTTGTTTTTCAGATAGAGTCTCGAGCTTTTACTCTGGCTGGTCTTAGACCAGGATCCTCCTACTTCTAAAGTAACTGAGATTGCATCACTGTATCCAGCTCTTAAGATTTATAAGTGTACTTAGTGGCTTCCATGGCCATGATGCATTATTAGAACCTACAGATAGCCCCTTGGAAGGACTGGGTGCATTTCTGGACCTGAAACACAGTGGAACGTCAACATTTTTCCTCTTAGGTGCCCCTTTCCCTTTTAGGAAAAGGAAGTACTTATATGTGTCTATAAGTAATAGTTGACCACTAAATATGACTTCTAGGGGGAAAAAAAGCCACCTCATAGTTTGTGGTTTCTCTTCAAGAAATAAATCAAAGGAAGGAAAAGAAGGAAGTGGTACTTCTCAAAATTCACTGTGGCCTTTATAGTAAATTATGTGACTCAGTTTTCACAGTTTGAAGATTTGGGGAAGAAAGAAATTAATGATTTCAGTGATAAAACTACAGTTATATTTTGATACACAAAATAGTTTCTCAAGAATTGTATCAAGCTGAGCATTGGTGGTTCATGTCTGTAATCCTAGCTCCTCAGGAGGCTGAGATCTAAGGATTATGGTTTGACCCCACACTGGACAGGAAAGTCCCTGAAACTTTTTTTTTTTTTTGGTTGGTCGTGGGGCTTGAACTCTGGGCTTGGGCACTATCCCTCAGCTCTTCAGCTCAAGGCAAGCACTTTACCACTTGAGCCCCAGCACCACTTCTGGTTTTCTAGTGGTTTATTGGCGACATGAGTCTCACAGACTTTCCTTGCCCGGGCTGGCTTTGAACCGTGATCCTCAGATCTCAGCCTCTTGAGTAGCTAGGATTACAGGCGTGAGCCACTGGGCGCCTGGCATCCCTGAAACTTATCTCCATTAACCACCAAAAACCAGAAGTAGCGAAGAGACTTAAGTAATAGAACATTAGCCTTGAGCAAAAGAGCTGAGGGACTGCACACAAACCCTGAATACAAGTACCAATACTGACAGAGATTAAGGGAGGGAAGGAAAGTTGGTTCCTATTAGCTTAGAAACTAAATTGACATTGATGTCCTGAGTTACCTACTTCAGATTGCCCTGTAACTTGGCATTCTTTCTTTCTGTTGTTCTTTACCTTTTTTTTTTTTTTTTAAGATATGGAAGAAAGCCGCAGTGTAGCCATGTTGGTGCCAGATGTTGGGGAGCAGGAAGCCATATTGACTGCCGAAGGTATCATCAGTCCTTCATTGGAAATTGATGAACCCAGAAAAGCCAAAGCAGATCCCTTAATCCATGTGATTCAAAAGTTAAGCAGGATAGTGGAGCATGAAAAATCACAAAAATGTCTTCTAATTGGGAAAAAACGATCACGGTCAAATATGACAACTCATCCCCTGGAAACCCAAGAAGTTTGTGAGATTCCAGCTAAAGTAACCCAGTTGCCTGCTGTTAGGAAGGCTGAGGTGTCACAAGCAAGTTTCACCCCCGAGTCTCTCGCCCATGATGACAGCAAGGCTATGTCTTACCAGTGTAGCCTTTGTAAGTTTTTGTCGTCATCATTTTCTGTGTTGAGAGAGCATATCAAGCTGCACGGCCAGCAGAATGAAGTGATATTAATGTGCTCAGAGTGCCATATTACATCAAAAAGCCAAGAGGAACTCGAAGCTCATGTGGTAAAGGAACATGAAAATGATATCAGCAATCACACCCCACACAAAGCCCAGCAGTGCAGTACCCCCTCCAACTCCTTCTGTCAGAGGACCACAGAGAGAACCAACGAAACCAGTGGTGACATCGCAGTCAGTATGGACAGTCCACAGACTCACCCTGGCCAAACCACATCCCTGGCAGAGATGGGCAGGAGGAAATGGTACGCATATGAGCAGTATGGCATGTATAGATGCTTGTTTTGTAGTTACACTTGTGGCCAGCAGAGAATGTTAAAAACCCATGCCTGGAAACATGCAGGAGAAGTTGACTGTTCCTATCCCATCTTTGAAAATGAAAACGAGCCCCTGGGCTTGCTGGGTTCTTCCACGTCGGCAGCACCTGGTGGTGTGGATGCAGTGGTCATTGCCATAGGGGACAGTGAGCTGAGTATCCATAACGGGCCTGCTGTCCAGGTGCAGATTTGCAGCTCAGAGCCATTATCATCTTCATCTTTAGACCAGCATTCAGAAGAAAGGGTACACCTAAGTCGCTCGGTTACCCTTGACCCTACTGAGGAAGAAGCACTCGAGGTGATGTCTGATGCCGAGGAGAGCTTGATTGCCGACAGTCTGCTTTCATCAGCACAGAAAATCATCAGCAGTAGCCCCAATAAAAAAGGTCATGTGAACGTGATTGTGGAACGTTTGCCAAGTGCCGAAGAAACTCTTTCACAGAAACCTTTCCTCCTAAATGCTGAACTAGATGAGGGCAAAACCCTGAACCCATCAGATGGCCAGGCCGGCTGTGCAGGAACTGGTGCCATCTTTCGTGCTGATAAATGCACTGTTGATATTGGAGGGTTGATCATTGGCTGGAGCAATCCAGAGAAGAAAGATAGTGAGTTACTAAGTAAAGGACTGGCCACTGATGAGAATGCCCCACCTGGCCGCAGGAGGACAAATTCTGAGTCTCTCAGGCTGCACTCACTAGCTGCCGAAGCTCTGGTCACGATGCCTATAAGAGCGGCCGAACTAACCAGAGCCAGTCTTAGTCACTACGGGGACATAAACCTGTTAGATCCAGATACAGGGCAGAGGCAAGCCGATAGGCCATTGGCAGCTTATTCCAAAATGATGTCACCACTTAAAAACACTTCAGAAGGATTGACTAGCTTCAGCCAAAGCAACTCTACCCTGCTAGCACTCCCAGAGGGTGGACAAGAATTGACAGATGGCCAAGTCAAGACAGGCATCAGTATGTCCCTACTCACTGTCATTGAAAAGCTGAGAGAAAGGACAGATCAAAATGCTTCAGACGACGACATTTTGAAGGAACTTCAGGACAATGCCCAGTGCCAACCCAACAGCGATACGAGTCTGTTGGGAACCAATGTGGTGGAATACATCCCTGAGGCTGAGCGACCCTACCGCTGTCGCTTGTGTCACTACACAAGTGGTAACAAGGGTTACATCAAGCAGCACCTGCGAGTCCATCGGCAGAGGCAGCCCTACCAGTGTCCTATCTGTGAGCATATAGCCAACAACAGCAAAGACTTAGAGAGTCACATGATCAACCACTGTAAGACCAGAATCTACCAATGTAAACAATGCGAAGAATCCTTTCATTACAAGGTAAACATTGCTTCAAGTCTTCTGGAAGGCTTGGGGATTTCAGAGGTAGGGGGGGACTTAACAGATGTTCTCTGGCCACCTCATTTTTTTTTTTTTTTGACTAGTTCTGGGGTTTGAACTCAGGGCCTGGTCACTGTCCCTGAGCTTTTGCTCAAGGCTAGCACTCTACCACCTGAGCCACAGCACCACTTCCAGCTCTTTCTGTGTATGTGGTGCTAAGGAGTCAAACAAGGGCCTCATGCATACTAGGCAAACACTCGACCACTAAGCCACATTCCCAGTCCCCTCAATTTACTGATACTCTTTTTTTGTTAGGTTGATTAGAGTCTAACAAAACTTAGAAAAGTCAATCCCAGCCTGGCTTTGAACCTTGATCCACAGATTTCATTCTCCTGAGTAGCTAGGATTACAGGCCTGAGCCACCAGTACACTGCAGTCAACTTAATTTTATAGATAAGGGAAAAAAAAGTTCTGAAAGAGTTTTGTGATTTGCCCAGGGGGTCCCCAGCTAATTAGTAATGAAGATGGGAAAGAAAGCTAGGCCTTCAGTATTTCTGCTCCGAATTCTTCCCTGCTTATTTATTGCCTTCAGTATTTCTGCTCCGAATTCTTCCCTGCTTATTTATTGCCTTCTTGCAGCCCCTTGTACTAAACTGTTTTTGTGTTTTAGCTTGCATACTTTTTTATAAAGCATTGTCCATTGGATTTTCATACTCCACACACTTGACCTACATGGATTTAAGTGTATGTGGTCCCACACACAGCAATAAGAATTCCCCATCTGACCTGGCCCCAAACTGCTCCTCACACATGCCAACTGCCATTGGACCAAACAGCAGTAATTTGTGTCATTGCAGAAAGGGAAATGGACTGTATTAGACTTATTGAAAGGCAGCACTGTACTGATAAAACCATGTATGCTTTGTTTCATGGACAGTTCCTGCCTCCTGAGTGCTGGGTTTACAGGTGTACCTCACCATGCCCAGCAGTTTGAAATGCTATTCATTTCTTTGTAAAGCAAACTTGGATTTATTGAATCATCATTAATTTTGAAATTCCAGGTAGTACATTCAAGTAGACTACAAAGAAAATTTCTAGGAGGAGGTATCTAGGAAGTTTCTTTTGCTGCTGCTATACTCCTGGGGTTTGGGTGGAGGAAGAGAACTTCCTTAGTGGTCTGCTGAGATCTGAGAGGCAGAATTTACAAGGAAATCCAATGGTTGTTCACTGAATTTGTTTTTTGGGACAGTGTTGCATTATCCTGAGCACCCTGCTCCCTACCCTCTCCCATCTCTAGGCCCCTACCTGTTCCATAATCTAAGTCCTCCTTTCAAAAAATATATAAGAAGGAACTGCCTTTTCAATGAGGTTATGGTTGCTCTAGTGCATTTCTTTCAGTTGCCCAGTGTGTCCAATAGTGCTTTAACAGGTTTGATTTTAAAATATTGATAATCTCTTCTAGGCCATAGGCCCTGAAAGTTATCAACCCCTTCTTAAACAGCCTCCTCACCAAAATATTACATATTAGTTGGGCAGCAGGGGCTCACCTGTAATCCTAGCTACTCAGGAGGTTCAGATCTGAGGACCACAGTTCAAAGCCAGCCCAGGCAGGAAAGTCCATGAAACTCTTAATCTCCAATTAACCACCAGAAAACTGGAAGTGGTGCTGAGGCTCAAGAGTTAGAGCACTAGCCTTGAGCTGAAAAGCTCAGGGACAGCACCTAGGCCCAGAGCTCAAGCCCCACGACTGACTCTATATAAATTTTCTCATTATTTTCAGAGTCAACTAAGGAATCATGAGAGAGAGCAGCATAGCCTTCCGGAAACCTTGTCAATTTCTTCGCATGAGCCACGAATTGCTAGTGATGCCGCTGATGGAAAATATATTCAGGAAGGTAGTTGAGCCTCTATTAATTTTACAAACTAATGGGTTTCATTATGACATTTGACACAGGCATACAATGTTCTTGATCATATTTATCCACTCCCGTGTATGTGTGTGTATGTGCGTGCGTGTGTGTGTGTATGTGTGTACTCTGTCTCTGAGCCACTCTATGCGTGTGTGTGTGTGTGTGCGCGCGCGTGCATGCTCTGTCTCTGAGCCACTCTATGCTTAAAGCTAATATTCTACAACTTGAGCCACAATCCCACATCTAGCTTTTTTTGAGTAGTTTATTAGAGAAGAATCTCACAGACTTTCCTGTCCTGTCTGGCTTAGAACTTTTAATCTCAGATCTCAGCCTTGTGAGTTGCTAGAATTACAGGAGTGAGCCACTGGCACCCAGCTACACTTACGCATTTTTAAGTTCTACTGTGTTGTCCTGAGGGTTTTCAGGACTAAAGCCTATATTGTCCTCTGTTTTTATACCACAGAAGTGAATGAATACTCTTGCCTCTGAAAAAAATTGCAGTTACTGATCAAAATAAATTATTATCAGGTCCTGAGTAACTCAATGAGGACTCAATTTCTGACTGTGTAGTTAAAATCTTTACTATCACATAAGAGTCAGGCAACAGCATAGATTTGGAAGGGGAATCCCAGCAAGCCAGCAGAGTTGAAGCATAGAGAAGCCACTTGTCCCATTCTGGTTACCAGATGACCTGTGCAGAGTGCAGCTTTTGCAGATGGTCGGCCTTTCCTCAAATATTTTCTCAGGCTTGCAGCTGTGACCTCCTCCAAGTGTAGCTGCCAGATTTCATTTGCATTGTTTAAACATACCCTTTTATGTACAAGTTCAGTATCCGTCAGTTGAGTTGCTGGTAATGGAAATATTAGAATCAGAAGGTTTAATTAGAGCTCCATGAAGAGGTAGGTGCTGCATGCAGAGAGTTGTGGAAGAAATGAAGTAAGCTGTGCCGCCTGGCTGGCATCAGTTCACTTAAACCGATACACTCTTGAATGACTCCAGTGTGGTTGGTACACAGTACTGATGGGAAATAAAGCATCTTGGGGTGACTTTCGTTTTTCGATTTCCCAAGAATTAAAGTTCGAAACAACTGCAGAGTGAAATGTTTTGCCATAATGTTTCATTAAGTCATACCCCAGAAAACATAACTAATTCGAGGATGTTCAGAAAGAATTGACTGTGACACCACTGTAGCACAAAATTCCCTTGTCAGACAGATGTCACCCCTGTAAAACCATCCCAAACAAAGGAGTTTATGACATGACATCTGTTCCTGCGATAGATGGCTGAGCTAAAACACTTTTGTTTCCTTCCTGCAAAACAGCCCTAACTGCCTCCTTTTATTTTAATTCATTATGTTTCCCTACCCCTTTTAAAGGAGACATTAAAACAGTAGAGTGATTGCACCATAAATCCCTAATGAAGGAATAAAGTGCTACTCAGTAGCGCCACCTGCAGTTAGCACCAGTGTTGACATCCGACTTTTCCAGCTCCATCTTAAAAATGCAAAAAATTCAAATAACCCGAATGTATTAACAGCTTAACGTCACTTTTTCAGTAAAGAAATTGAAACTAGTTCAAAGTAACCATTCCAAACTTTACTACAGTCATACCTGTTCAGCATATGCCATTTCTGGAGCATCTTTTTTTGGTGAATTAAATGGCTTAGCATGATCTTTTACCCCTCTTCAATGCTGGAGATGGGACCCAGGGCCCCACACGTGCTATGCTTGCACCCTACCACTGAATTGCACCCCTGTTCCTTCCTTGCTCATCTCATTTTTTTATTCTGTCATAGTAGCAGTGCTGGTGTCTTCCTGCATGCTTAGATCTGGACAGGACAAAGAACAAATTCTTAGCTCACAAAGGTTAATTGGTGCTTGGTCAAAACTACTTAGTAAACTGCTTTATTTAACTTAGTAAGGTCAATTAAATAGGAGAAATGTCTCTGGGGTTCCCGTATTGGAACAAGATACTTTGTGGCATGCTTTCAACACAGAGGCCCTGGGTAACCACAGACATTCATTCCACCAAGAGCCATGGAATGCCTGTCTCAAGATAGGCACTGTGCCAAGTACTGGGTGTTGGCTGCCCTTGAGAAACCCTGCCCAGTGAAGAAGTTAGAGCTAGATTAACACTGCTGAGTGTTCTAATAAGAGCCACAGGCAAGGCCCTTTCCTGTGTTATTTCTTCAGGACATTTAAGTAACTTGTTCCTGATTGTTTTCAGTTGTCCACGCCCTAGGGATTTAGTGTCAACCACACAAACACGTCCTCTACCCTCAGCTCTCCAATGTAGAAAAGGGCAGAAGTTTTCCCCAGATGTGGAAATAAATGCACACTTTGCCTGAAGGAAAAATGGAAGACTTGCCAAACCATGCTCTAAGCTGCTGGGTACTGCCAAGGGCCACTTACAACATTCACAGATGATGGCCATACAAAAATGTTAATACAGGCAGACAGCCATAGGCAGCCAAAAAGATGCATAGGTGGCTGTCCTGCCATGATTTTATAGCCGTATGCTACCCGAGGGTTGGGACATTGCCTGCCCCAGCTAGAATTTCCATTCTATAGATGAGAAAAGTGATAGCCCATGAGGTAAAATAATTCACCCGTGATCATACTTGCAGTAAGTAGCATAGCAGAAACTCAGCTCAACTGTCTGAACTTCAATCCAACCTTCTTTCCACTGGAGACATTTGCTCAAAGTAGCACAGGCTCCCATTCCGTGCTATATTAGGGTTTCCCATCTGTCAGTTTTATTAGTTGTCATTGATCTGTAATATTTCTCACACAAGCCATTATCCAATAGTTCGCACTTTTTTTTCTGGGCTTTTTTTTTAACTATATTTGGAACAGTGCCATTTAGAACTGAGTCCAAGTTTTTAACCTACCAATTAAGAGCAATACTTAGATTGTAATTATGATTAGTGTGTATATTAACATTATAGATTTATACCCGGAAATTAGGACATTTTGTACTCCTGGCAGTAGTTATTAGGCAAAAAACTTTCAATTTTCAAAAGTGTAAATTTAACTTAAGGATTTTTCTTTGTTGAAATTACAGTGTGGGTTTTTTCTTTTTTTAGTGGTAGTTTTACTTTAGTGTTCCATGTGCCAGTGTTCTACCTAAGCTTTCTTCCTGCCAGCAGTCACAAAGCTCCTCCAGTGCTACCCATATCTTGAGCCTGCAGGCTTGCTTTGTTACTATATGTAACAGTAGACAGGGTGGGATGAGCCTGCTGGAGGGAGACAAGAACGCATGATGTAACCTCAGGAGCCAGTTGCACAGGTCAGGTCCTTCAGTTTGTACTGTTACACATGAATCACCAAGGCCTGCTATTGCAAATGATGTGGTTACATGGTCTGTTTTCATTGGATCCCTGTTACGTGTCAATGAGCCACCCATTCCTAACCTTTGTCCCAGTAGCCTGTCAGTTACTGTATATAATTGCACTATACTAAAATGGAGTGCTTCAGAATTCACAGATGCTTTTCCTTCCATGTTAACATTAAGTTGTAAACCAAGGAAGCTACAGGATAGAACCTCCAGACTTTTTATAGAATTTACTGTACATGCTTCATGACCACACATTATAGTAATAAATTATTGTGTTTAAATTATAGCTCATTGGCAAATCAGTGTTTCGTTAAGATAGTATGTTGAATTGAAACTCCTTTGTACAACTAAAGATAATTTTAATTTTTTAAAAGAAGATAGCTATTAATAGCCTGACACTTTTCAGATCAACAGTCAGTCTTCTAATTACTTACTCCCTACTCAGCCAGCAGCAGGAAGCAAGTTCATTATACTCTAGAATTTGGGGTGAGATTATGCAAAAACCAGCCCAGCTCAACCCAGTGATGGTTACAGAAGATACTGGGTGTCTTTGCTAGGCATAGGAGAATCTATGAAGCCACTTTGGACAGGTTACACAGAGATGGTGAGGAATCCCCAATTGAAATGGTGAAACTGTGGCATAAGATTCACAGTGTGTTGCCAGTGCTGTAACATGCATCCTACCAAAGCCTGCCTCTAAAACTCTCCAAATATTCTGTCTAGGGAATAAGTCGTCGGCCCAGAAACAATATAGATGTGATGTGTGTGATTACACAAGCACAACATACGTTGGTGTCCGAAACCACAGAAGGATCCATAACTCTGATAAGCCATACAGGTAAGTCTAGTGACTGTGGAACCTTAGTGCTTGTATTAAAATATTTTAAAACTAGGTGCTGGTGGCTCAGACCTGTAATCTAGCTACTCACAAGGCTGAGATCTGAGATTTGCAGTTCTAAGCCAGTAACTAAGGCAGGAAAATTTATGCGACTCTGATCTCCAGTTAACCAGCAAAAAGCCAGAATTAGAGGTGTGGCTCAAATGGTAGAGTGCTAGGCTTGAGCAGAAAAGCTCAGGGACAAAAAAAAATCATTAGTAATTGCTTTAGAATCCAGTTAATATGTATATTTTTGTTTGCACTTAATTTTTTGTTTGCACTTAATTTGTAATCTTTGTTTCAGAAACAAGTAATCATGTGGGTAAAAGTATGATGGGTTTGATTTTTATATCAAGTCATCAGGTATAGAGAAATGTCCTTGTAGAAGTGTTCAAATAAGTTGGGCACCAGTGGCTCACACCTATAATCTTAGCTACTCAGGAGGTAGAGATCTGAGGATCCTGGTTCAAAGCCAGCCGGGATAGGAAAGGCCATGAGACTCTTATCCCAATTAACCACCAGAAAACCAGAAGTGGTGCTGTGGCTCAAGTGGTAGAGAGCTAGCCTTGATCTGAAGAGCTCAGGGACAGCACCCAAGTTTACAGTTCAAACCTCCAACCAATAAAAAAAAAAAGTGTTAAATGTTTCTACTCTATATTTAAATTTTTTTTAAAAAAAGCTCAGGACATTGCCCAGGCCCCATGACCAACCCCCCCCCAAAAAAAAGGTTTAAAGAAATAAATTGGGAATAATTTAAGATTTATAACACTTGTTGCTACATAGGTTAAGTAAGAGCTAAGAAACTTTCACTGCTGATTTCTAAGTCTTGTTTAGTTTGTTAAGGAATACAAGCTTCAACTCTGAATCTTAGTACAGTATACATCCTGTCTAGTGGGAACACAGGAAAGTGTACCTGTACCAGCTAACTTTGCGTTCATTTCGGTTGCATATAAGTTATCACAGCAGAGCTGGGTATACTCTTTAAAAAGAGGGCATGTAAGCTGGGCACTAGTGGCTCACACCTGTAATCCTAACTTCTCAGGAAGCTGAGATTTCAGGATTGAGGTTCAGAGTCAGCCCAGCAAGGAAAACCCACGAGACTCTTAATATCCCAATTAACCACCAAAAAGCCAGAAGTAGAGCTATAGTTCAAGTGGTAGGTCACTCACTAGCCTCAAGCAAAAAGCTAAGGGATACCCTGAGTTAAAGCCCCAGAGCGAACACACACACACTAAAGGCAATTTAGGCATTTCTAAAACTTGTAATTCACTACTTACATAAAAATATCCATTATTCATTTATGAGCTACTCCATTCTAACTGGTTTGTTCCTGACACAGTAAATACTGACAGATCAAAGCATTATGGCTATGTCCCTGTCCCACAGGGTATGAGTTTTTTCACCTCTACCAGAGAGGCATTGGCAGTGGGGGTGCACAGAATGTCTCAAACATACACTGTGACTTCATGCTTTCTTAACGTTCTTAAGGCACATTTTTAGGGGAGAAATGGACTATATCCTAAAGAATAATCAGTAGCTTCATTTAATTTGTTGCATAATGTGCTTATTATAGCAATGTTTATAATGCCAAAAAGATAAAAATCATTCTAACTCTATAATGCTAATAGAATGATTAAATTATACTTTCATAGGATGGACCATTATACTAATCCCTATTGAAATGCATGATTTTAATGAGAACATACTGGTGGAACATTATCAAAAATGGGATTAAAAATCTGTACTCTGAGGTTCCATTTTTACATCAGATCTACAGCTATGTACATTTTAAAAGATTAGGAAGCTATACAAGTAATACTTTATAGAGTTTACTTGCCTATATATTGCATTTGTGTACAAGGGATATAGATTATATAATGAGAAAGAAGTTTTCACGAATGACCAGGAGTGATTTAGATTCACTGTGTTCAGATCTATAGAGGAAAAAAGGAATGTAACTACTTATGGCATTACTCTTAAAATACTTGACTTTCCTTGTACAGGTGTTCTTTGTGTGGGTACGTGTGTAGCCATCCTCCTTCTTTGAAGTCACACATGTGGAAGCATGCCAGTGACCAAAATTACAACTACGAGCAAGTAAACAAGGCCATTAATGATGCAATTTCACAAAGTGGCAGGTACTTGATCCTCTCCCTCCCTTGGTTGCTGTGTCTGTGTGTGTACACAAATATTAAAAATTAGGATCAGGCCTGGTGCCAGCAGCTCATACCTGAAGTCCTAGCTACTCAGGAAGCTGAGATCTGAGGATCACCATGAGACTCTTACCTGAAATTAATGACCAGAAAAGCTGGAATTAGAGCTGTGGTTCAAGTGGTTGAATACCAGCTCAGAAACAGCATCTGAGTTCAAGCCACAGAACTCACACAGAGTTCAGATTAGAATTGCAGCTACTGGTCCTATAGTATACCACACTCAGGTTTTGTGGGGGTTTCTTTCTTTCTTTCTTTTTGGTGGTGGGACTTAAAGTCTGGGTCTGGGCACTGTCCCTGCCCTCTTCAGCTCAAAGCTAGTTCTCTATCACTTGAGCCACAGCACCACTTCTGGTTTTTTGAGTGGTTTATTGGAGATAAGAGTCTCATAAACTTTCCTGTCTGGGCTGGCTTTGAACCACAAGCCTCAAGTCTCAGCCTTCTGAGTAGCAAGGATACAGGCATGAGCCACGAGCACCTGGCTAATGTGTGTTTTGTTTTTTAAGAGTTCTAGGGAAATACCCTGAAAAATCTCGGTGGACCAGCGAAGAGAAAGCTGATCTGATAGCTGGAAGTTCAGAAAATCTGTTGTCCACTTCAGAACTGATGTCCCAAGCGTCCAGTGAAAGTGTAGATTCCAATGAGGGTGAGAAAGTGAGCCCTACAAGTAATGTATCATACAGTTTAGAAAAGACCTCCAGCCTGGCCCCTCCTGGAATGGAGTACTGTGTTTTGCTCTTCTGTTGTTGTATTTGTGGTTTTGAATCAACCAGCAAAGAAAATCTGCTGGATCACATGAAAGAGCATGAGGGTGAGATTGTCAACATCATTCTCAATAAGGACCAGCATGCCACCATAAGCACAGACTAGCCAGAAGAATGCCTGGAAGATTCCTTTAACCACAGGTGACTAACCTACTAGACGAAGAGGTGGTAGGCAGTATGACTAGGGAACACAGTGACCTGGTGTGGCTTTGGAACCAAACTTGTCATAAGATGAATTCCAAATTGATAGGCAGTAACGATATTTAAATTATCTTGAGTGTGGGGAAGCAAATATATAATCCTATATTAACCTTCTGTCCCCCTTCTTAGTGTGGAGTATGTTTGTTATTGCAGCTTATTCTAGTTTAGAAGTGCAAACAGTTCAGAAAGGTCTTTCAGGAGCCCTTCTGAAACTTGCTGTGAAGTTCCAATCTTATGCAGATCCCTAAGAGCTTCGTGTCTGCCTGCCTGCTTTAGAGTAGACACACCTCTGCTGGGATGTTGGGAGGGCTTCTCCAGTGCAAGGAAGGATTTGAGGTGATATGTTTAAATTGTTCCCTTACTTTAAGAAAGTAGACAAGACATCTGTAAATCAAGTTTAAATCCTAAGTAGACATTTCTGAAGTCAATTGTTTTCTGAAACTTAGATGCATTTCTTGTGGGCAAAGGAGACAATCTCAAACCATATCTCAAGTTCATAGAGACACCTGTACTTTTCAGAGAGTCTTTTCAGAGCTTTAAAGATCAAGGCCCACTTTTCCAGTTACCTAGGCTGTTTAATCCTCTCTCCTGTGTGAGACCCTCTCATCTGAAAGAGTCCTAGCATAATCAAATATGAAAATGTGCATCACTGTCAGCCCTGGAAAATAATTTGAATTATTAAGATAAAAGTTAGAGGGCTAAGCTGATGATGCACACCTATAATCTTAGTACTCAGTAGGCTGAGGCAGGAGGATTGCAAGTTCAAGGCTAGTCTGGACTACATGGGTGAGATCTTGTGTGAAAAAAACAAGTATCACTTGGAGAATGAGAGATGAAATTCAGAAACTTCTTAAAATTAGTACTTCTACTGGGATCTTTATAGGAGTTTATTACTTATTTATAGCAGAAAAGGAATATCTAAATGTCCTTAAGACAGTAAAACTTCAGGGTGGTTATAAAAGTTCTGAGGAAACAGCACTTGGCAAGTCAATAGATTTCTTTGAAAGAAGCTCCATTTGTTTGATGTAAGAAGACAGGAAAACCCCCTAAATATGCTTTGCATAAAATCTTGCCATCAGATAAATAGAAGTAAACATCTCATTAATTAGACATTTTATATTGCAGTTAGTTGAAAGGGTGAAATACACAAGGTGTTCTTGTAGTTCTGATTACTTCTTTATGCATTGTTTCATCAAAGTAAATTCTGCCTACAAGATAGGAGGCTGGTGCCCTGTTGTAGTGCACCATCTTCATGGTGCTATTTTTGAATATCAATTGCTAATGTCTAGAAGTGGGGCTGTGCCTAATTACATCTAGGCCCTCAAATTAGAGCTCTGTGAATGGGATATTCTGCACATACATTTTAGGAAAGAAGTAAATGAAAGAATTGTGTTAAGAGCAGTAGGAACTGTAGTAATTGGGGCTGGGTACCTTGAAACATTTTCTAATTTTTTTTTTATAATCTTTTTTTTTTTTTGGTGATGAGAGTTAACCAAAGAGAACTAAGTCTGTGCCCCTTTGATATAGGTAGCTTTAATGTAGAATTCAATCCATTACTGAGACATGGTTTTAGAAAAGATAAAATTATATATATATAATTTCCCCCAAACCTACAATACTTTTATATTCATTTTTCTCCTTTTCAAAAGTGATTCGAATTTTAAATTCAAATAAAATAGTTCCATGTCTTAATACCCATTCCCACCCATCTATAGATTAGTTCTCACTGCTATTAACTCAGACCCCTTGATTCTTTCTACCAACCTTCCAAGAATTGGCATGGGCTTTAATTTTATTAGAATCATTTGGAAAATAATAAGCAAGTTTCAACAGTGTTACTTATAGAATTATTTCTCTCTGTTCTCATAAACCACTTCCCATTGGCTATTACTTCTGTTTTCCATCTGCAATCATGAATTTAAAGTTTCTCTTCCCCGTGGGAAAACATTTACCCAGAAGTTCAAAGCCTTTAAACATGAATGTGACCTTGATAGCGATCCTCCTGGCCCAGAGGAGGCACCATAAGGGAATATACATACACAATGTCCACAGGATATTCTGTGTAGCAAACCTTCCATGCATTTCTACCAAGAAGAATTGAGTTTTCTAAAAGTAGTAAGGAAAATGAAATGCGCAATTGTAATTGCATAAGAGAGAACATTAATCACCAGGAGGTCTGTTTATAGGAATAACACGTTATCTCTATCAGACCTTTTGTTATATACCAAGCTCATGCTGTTTGCTGCTCTGAATACTTTTAAGATTTGATGGTGAACGTTGATTTTTTTTTTTAAAGAAAATGAGTAGGCACCAGTGGCTTATGTCCTTGCTGCTCAGGAGGCTGGGATCTGAAGATCATAGTTCAAAGCCAGCCTAGGCAAGAAAGTCCATGAGACTCTGATCTCCAGTTAACCAGCAAAATGCCAGAAATGGAGCTGTTGTTTAAGTAATAGAGCATTAGCCTTGAACAAAAAAGGTCAGGGACACACCTAGGCCCTGAGTTCAAACCCCAGTACTAGTACACACACAGAAGAAAGTTATTGGATTCAATAAAGGCAGGGGCACCTGATACATTCTGATCATTATAAGTAGTACTTTTCAGGGCTTTATCATTTTCTCCTTTGTTCTAACAATCAGAGTAAGGTTGGTGTCATGATGTTCAGCAATATTGTGCTAATGTTGAACTCTGAGCCCTGGCCTTGCAGCACCATGACACTGGCTAAAGTCATTGCTGTAGATCTTTCAGACCTATTCCAAGGAACTGTTGGTGACCTAATTCCTTTCTGTTCTCTTTCTTGCAAACCAATGGCAGACATCCTTGTTTACATTGTATGTTCCTGCAGAGTACTCTTCCTCTCTTGAGACATCTATTTTTAGTTTTCATAGACACTTATTTAATCTTTTTTATTTACTTGTACAGCAAGGTGCTCTAAGTAATATTCTATAAAGTATATTTAATAGAAATTTGCGTTTGATATTCATGGACATGAATACATGTATTTTTTTAAGAAGTATTGTGTGTGTAACACTATGGCATTGCTTCTTTAGCCAAAGCATAAAGATTTCTGGAACACTGACATGTAAAGAGTACAATGAGTTCTGTATCTTAAGAAAAGAGGATGATTCGCATTTTTGTAAGATCATCCTGCACCCGGGGTTGCAGGCCTTAAAGCTGAAATTCTGGGATGGCATTCATGGAGGAGCAGTGGATCTGTTCCAGACAGCAAAGCAAGGTCTGTAGCGCTGCTTTAACTACCTTTGAAAATACTGTACAATGTTAGAATAATTTATTTTGCTTTACAGGAGTTTGTCATGTATTGACTTTAATATTGTATTTTGGTAATAAAATTTTTTTGTTAAAAACACTAGCCTCTAAGTTTTATTAACCATACTTAATTTGGATATATTTTGTTTTGTTTTTTGTTGGTAATGGGCTTAAACTCTGGACCTGGGCTCTGTCCCTGAGCTCTTCAGCTCAAGGTGAATGCTCTACCACTTGACCCACAGCACCACTTCAGTTTTCTGATGGTTAATTGAAGATAGAGTCTCACAGACTTTCCTGCCCAGGCTGGCTTTGAACTGTGATCCTCAGATCTCAGCTCCTAGTAGCTAGGATTACAGGTGCAAGCCACCCATGTGTGGCTATACCAGTATCTTTTGACATTGGATTTTCTGTATTTACAAAGGACACTGTATCATTGGTTAATTAGTACACTAGAATCTGAGGCCGGTATTTCTTCCCAGTAGTTATAATCCCTTGGCTTGTGCTCCTGAAGAGTGACAGAATCATATCTCTTTATCTTCCCCCTCCTTTCCCCAGTACCGGGCTTGAACTCAGGGCCGCTTCTGGCTTTTTCTGTTTATGTGGTACAGAGGAATCAAACCTAGGCCTTTGTGCATGCTAGGCAAGCAATCTAGCACTAAGCTACATTCTCAGCCCACATCCCTCCAAATCCCAATCGTGTGTCACTGAATTCCCAAGTTAGCTTTAGGAATCGCAGCATAGGGAAAGGGAAGGGTGTTTGCTATGATCTAGTAGCCATGGTCACAAGCAACTGTCAAGCAGTGGAAATACCACTAATATATCCTAAGTGTAATATGCATGACAGTTGCAGACACTTGAGTACCAAAAAAAACTTAACTCTCAGTTTTTACACTGATTATATGTTAAAATGATATTTGGAGCCAGGCGCCAGTAGCTCATGCCTGTCATCCTAGCAGCTCAGGAGGTTGAGAGCTTGTAGATTACAGTTTGAGAAGCCAGCCCAGGTAAGAAAGTCTGTAAGAGTTATTTCCAATTAAGCACCAAAAAGCTGAAAGTGGAGCTATGACTCAAGTGGTAGAGTGCTATTCTTGAGCCCAAAAGCTCAGGGGACAGTACCAGACCCTGACAAGCCCTATGACAAGCACCCAAAAACCAAAACACAAGTTCACAGTTGGAGAGGAGGTTAAAGTTGGCTGTGGACTAGAGTGGTACACCAGAGTCTACTCCTTGTCCAAATCAATCAGGTATAACTGGAGAATATATCTGACCCTATATATTCTTATTTTGCTAGTACTGGAGCTTGAACTCTTGTCTCATACTTAGTCTGCTCGCTTGCCTGTTTGCTTGCTCACAGCTGGTGCTCTTCCACTTGAACCATGCCTCAGATTTTCGCTGGTTATTTTGGAGACGGAATCTCACAGACTTTGCTACCTAAGCTAGCTTTGAAGTGTGCTCCTCCAGATCTTAGCCTCCTACATAGTTAGGATTATACTAGTACCCCACAGTCCATTGGCTTTATTTAAATTTAAAGCCTTATGAATATAGTACACATCTTCCATTTCTTTTTTTTTTGGTTGTGGGGCCTGAACTCTGGGCCTAGGCCCTATCCCTCAGCTCTTCAGCTCAAGGCTAGCGCTATACCACTTGAGCCACAGCACCACTTCCAGCTTTTTCTGCTTATGTGGTGCTGAAGAATCGAACCCAGGGCCTCATGCATGTGAGGCAAGCACTCTACCACTAAGCCATCTTCCCAGCCCTCTTGTTTTTTTTTCTACTTGTCATTGTATTAATTTTAGTACCCATACTTCAGAAATAGTGTGGCTGCATTTCACAGAAATAGGCACATCAATCCACATCTTACTCTTTGTATCTGCAGTTCCTATTTAAATTCAATGTCTCCAACTACAAAAGGTGTTAGAAAATGCTATTTCAGGCTTAGGAGAAAAGTACAGCTGAATGTGACTGAAATTGTAAGCTGTATTTATTTCTGTTCCTCTACAGCCAATGATTATGTGAAGTAAACAATGGTAGGAAGTCAGGGGTTACAAGGTCGCTTTCCCTGAGTAAGGAAGTGTGAGGACAACATTTAAATTCCACACAGAGAACCACACCACCACCTAGGTTAAAAGCTCCATGCCTTACCCAGGCACTGTGGCTCACACCTGTGATCCTAGCTACTCAAGAGGCTGAGATCTAAGAAAGTCTGTGAGACTTTTCTCTCCAATGAACCACCAAAAAGCTAGAAGTGGAGCTGTGGTTCCAGTGTTGGAGCACTTGCCTTGAGCGGAAAAAGCCAAGGAAGAATAACAGGCCCTGAGTTCAAGACCCACTATTGGGACACATACAAAACGCCTGAAGTCAAGAGTGTTAGAAACACTTGCATTTCTGGCTAAAAGTCCTTCCCACAGAACCCCCCTCCCCAAAAAAAAATATGTATGTATGTATATATCCCGAATCTGAAGGTCTGTCTTGGCACCTATTAACTAGGGAGGATCTGCCTGTGGGATTTTTCAGACATCTGTGTATACACCTGTGTGTACACCTGCTGTGTAGGGAGTGACATTATACCCAGCCAAGGAAATTAGCAGGAAGGACCAGCCAGAGCTGCTGATTCTTGGGAATGAAATGGCTCACATTTGGCCAAAAAAAAAAAAAAAAAAAAAAGCTTTTGTGATAAAGCATCATCGCCTGCTTTTAGTTGAATATCTTGACTATTCATGTCCTCATTCAAAAATACACAACAGTTATTCTAGCCGGCAGAAAATGGAGAGGGGAAAAAAAAGTGTAGGTGGTAACCATGGAGATGAAAAAAATCACCAGCAAGTAAAGTAAGAAGAGCAGGTGTTAAGGAAGATTAAACAAAACGGATCACTTGAAAGATTTTGCTTAACTTTTAACTTTGCGAAACTAATCCTTAGACAAAGACAAAGCTAGGCTAACTTGCTCTTGTTTCCCTATTCTGAATCACTTCAAATCTGGTTTAACTCAACACTGATCAAAGGAAACAAGATCAATGACAACATACTAAAGATAACTTGAAAGTGCCCTTTTATTTTTGTGCTGGCACTGGGGCTTGAATTCAGGGCCTTAATGCTCTTATTTGGATTTTTCCCTCAAGACTGGTGCTCCCACGTGAGTCAAAGCTCCCATTTCTGGCTTTCCCTCCCCCCATGGGGCTTGAACTCAGCTGGAGCACTGTCCTTGAGTTCTTTTTGCTCCAGGCAGGCACTCTTATCACTTTGAGCCACAGCTTCACTTCCAGTTCTCTGGTGGTTAATTGGAGATAAGGCTTTCACAGACTTTCCTGCCCATGCTGCCTTTGAGCGAGATCCTCAGATCTCTGTCTCTTGAGTAGTTAGGATTACAGGTGTGAGCCACCAGACCTCTGGTCACTCTGGTCTCTGATTTACGTCTGCCTTTGTTGGTTAACTGGAGATAAGAGTCTCTCAGACTTCCTTGCCTGGGCTGGTAACAAACCTTGATCCTTAGATCTCTGCATCCATGAGTAGCTAGGATTACAAGAATGAGCTACTGAACCAAGCTAAACAATGACTTTTTAAGACACTTGGAAAAATCAACCCTGGTTAATGAACTGAGTGAAAGTGTTGTTAGAAAAAGATGGGGCTTCATAGTTCTATAACAATATTGCAAGGAACTCATTTCTCCCCAACCTTCTATAAATTTTGCACTAGTCTAACAAATGTCTATGAATTTTTGAAAATGATTATTAAGTTTATTTGAACAAATAAATATACAAAATTACTTTTTACTGGGTTTTAAAGAAATATAATGAAATATGTACCCACTGCTCTACCAAGTATCAAAAGGCATTCTATTACTATTAAAATTCCACAGTAAGTAAAAGCATGTGTAACTGTTTCAAAAAGCTTAGTAGAACACTTCAGCTGAGCATGAAAAGAATGGACAGCAATCCCAGCTCTCAGGAAAATGAGGCAAGAGCTCCAGAACAGTCCAGGCTACACAGCAAGAACCTAGCTTTAAAAAAAAAGCCAGACCCAAGTAGCTCATTCCTGTAATCATAGCTACTCAGAGGCTGAGATCTAAAGATCATACTGGACAGGAAGTCCATGAGACTCATGTCCAATGAACCACCAAAAAGCCAGAAGTGGAGCTGCAGCTCAAGTGGTAGAGCACTGTCCCTGAGCGAAAAAGCTAAGGGACAGCACCCAGGCCCAGAGTTCAAACCCTAGTACTGGCACAAAAAAGAGAAAGAAAAAAATGATATATAAAATAATGCTATATTACTTGCTATCCAGAACTGGCAAGGATTAAAGTAACCCAGTGTTGGCAAGGGCACAGAGAAATAAGCACGGTAATTATTGGTAATAAAAAATAAAGTTAACTTTTTGGAAGGGAGTCTGCCAATATTTATTATAATTTAGACTATGAGATCTAGCAATTCTATTTCTAGAAACATTTCCTGAAGAACTACATATGTATAAGGAAGTGCTTTCAGCATAGTGAATAGCTTATAGCATTAAACCAAAAACAACCTAAATGTCCAATTAACTGGGAATAAATTATGGCAATCATAACAGGTTATGAGTTATTTATCACCATATAGCAAAAATACCCCCTCAAACTTTTTAATTCCTTGGAACAATAAAGAGCTGGTTGCCAGTACTTCACAACTGTAATTCTAGCTACTCAGATCTGAGGATTGAGGTTCAAAGCTAGCATGGGCAGGAAAATCCATGAGACTCTTAATTTTCAATCAACCAGCAAAAAGCCAGAAGTGGGGTTGGGAAGGTGGCTCAGTGGTGGCTACTCAGATCTGAGGATTGAGGTCAAAGCTAGCATGGGCAGGAAAATCCATGAGACTCTTAATTTTCAATCAACCAGCAAAAAGCCAGAAGTGGGGTTGGGAAGGTGGCTCAGTGGTAGAGTGCTTGCCTTGCATGCATGAGGCCCTGGGTTCAATTCCTCAGCACCACATAAGCAAAAAGAAAAAAAGCCAGAAGTGGCGCTGTGGCTCAAATGGTAGAGCACTAGCCTTGAGCTGAAGAGCTGAGGGACAGCGCCCAGGCCCAGAGTTTAGGCCCCATGACCGGACCCCCCCCCAAAAAAAAAAATAAAGCCAGAAGTGGAGCTTGGCTCAAGTGGTAGAGTGCCAGCCTTGAGCAAAAGAGCTAAGCAAGAGAGCAACTCCCTGAATGAGTGCAAACCCCAGTAGCAGGACCTTCCCCCAACAATAAAAATAATGTATATTAGCTGGAGGCAATAGAGGGGAAAAACATGGACACATTCTGAGATAATTAGGAAGTAAATCCAATGGGTTTTTAAAGATACATAAAGATGACAGGAAAGGAAAAGAATCAAGGTTGGCTCCTAGATTTTGTGGGGGAGGGGAGGGTGAGAGGAGGGTTGTGTGCCAGTCCTGGAGTTTAAATTTAGGACCTATACACTATCCCTGAGCTTTTGTGCTCAAGGCTAATGCTCTATCACTTAGGACAAAGCTCCACTTCTGGCTTTTTGATAGATAATTGGAGATAAGAGCCAATCAGATTTGTCTGCTGAGACTGGCTTTGAACCATAATCCTCAAATCTGAGCTTCCTCTGTAGCTAGGATTACAGGTGCCACTGGCACCTGGAAAGCCATTTCAGAATACTAATACAAGCCATGACAGATGGGTACTGTTTTATTTACTTGGGGTAAGTGTTTTGCAGTGGTTACTCTGCTCCTGAGTAAGCCTACTTAAGGAGGAAAAAAAAAATCCCATCCAATAATAGAAGAGAAACTTTTTTCTTTTTTTTGGTGGGGGGGGGTCCAGTTGTGGGGCCTGAACTCTGGGCCTGGGCACTGTCCCTCAGCTCTTCAGCTCAAGGCTAGCACTCTACCACTTGAGCCACAGCACCACTTCGGGCTTTTTTTTTTTCTGCTTATGTGATTCTGAGGAATTGAACCAGGGCCTCAAGCATGCAAGGCAAGCGCTCTACCACTGAGCCTCCTTCCCAGCCCTGGAAGAGAAACTTTTAAGAAGGAATTGATTTGTATGCTAAGTTAGCAAATGTTTATTTTATACAGGGGCACCTTAATGTGAAAGATTACAAATATAGCCAGGCACTAGTAGCTCACACCTTGTAATCCTAGCTACTACTAAGGAGGCTGCAATCTGAGGATCACCATTCAAAGCCAGCCTGGGCAGGAAAGTCATAAAGCTCTGATCTCCAGTTAGTCACCTAATAACCGGACGTAGAGCTATGGCTCAAAGTGGTAGAGTGCTAGCCTTGAGCAAAAAAAGCTCAGGGAGGGGCTAGGAAGGTAGCTCAGCGGTAGAGTGCATGTCTTGCAAGCATGAGGCCCTGGGTTCGATTCCTCAGCACCACATAAACAGAAAAAGCCGGAAGTGGCGCTGTGGCTCCAGTGGTAGAGCACTAGCCTTGAGCTGAAGAGCTGAGGGACAGCGCCCAGGCCCAGAGTTCAGGCCCCATGACCGGCAAAAAAAAAAAAAAAAAAAAGCTCAGGGACAACACCTAGGCCCTGAGTTGAAGCCCCATGACGAACTGTATATGGAACAATTACATAGCCCCTGCTCTGATACCCCTAGCCAGGAAGATACCAGCAGCCAGGATGGAACCCTACAAATACCATCTGGAAGAGAGACTAAAAGAAGCTGGCACCATTTATTAAAGCCACCAGCAGATAGCGCCATCCATATGCACAGAAGGTGTGCTTGTTATGAATAGCTGTGGACACACAAAGGAGAAGGAAATGCTCAGAAGGATGGACAGCCTTTTCACAGGTGGAAATCCGAAGAACATTCTTTATCAAAAATTAATTTTCATTTAAGTATGTGCTGATACATAAGTTTTTCTCTACTGTCTTTTGCAGTATGATTAAGAGATGTATCTAGGGCTGGGAATGTGGCTTAGTGGTAGAGTGCTTGCCTTACGTGCATGAAGCCCTGGGTTCGATACCGCAGCACCACATACACAGAAAAAGCCAGAAGTGGCACTGTCGCTCAAGTGTAGAGTATTAGCCTTGAGCAAAAAGAAAGTTCAGGGACAGTGCCCAGGCCCTGAGTTCAAGCCCCAGGACTGGCAAACAAAAACAAAAAATGCATCCAGGCTCTGCAACAGTGAGTCACAACTCAAGACTGAAATCTGAGGATTGAAGGTCAAAGCAGGAAAATCTAATTGGAGACTAATCTCCAATTAATCACCAAAAAGTCAGTAATGGAGGTGCGGCTCCTGCTGTAGAGGGCCAGGCTTGAGCAAAATAGCTAAGGGACAGCACCCAGGCGCTTAGTTCATGCCCCAATACCAGCACACACACACACACAAAGTCATCTAGATACAAGGCATACTATGTGTCAGCTAAATCGGATTTGAAGATGAATTTGAATCCAGGACTGAACACTAGAGGGGACTCTTGGGGGGGGGGGTTGAGCAGACAGAGTAGTAATACATCCTACCTACAGCAGGTATGTGTATCAGTTGTGGGGCTTGAACTCAGGGTCTGGGAGCTGTCCCTGAGCTGCTTTTGCTCAAGACTAGTGCTCTACCACTTGAGCCACAGCTCCACTTCCAGCGCCTTGGTGGTTGATGGGAAATCAGTCTCACAGACCTTCCTGCCCAGGCTGGCTTTCAACTGTGATCCTCAGATCTCAGCCTCCTGAGTAGCTAGCGGCTGACAGACGTGAGCCACTGTGGCCCAGCTAGTAGGTGCCTTTGAAGTAGGGGTAAATAAATGATTTCCTGACCATAGATGGGAGAGATCTGAAGGAAAGGTGCCAAGCCCTGTAAGCCAGGCCTTCTCAAACTGGGTACTGGGACTTGTCTAAGTGACTCAGTGACCCAACTGGCCTGCCACATGTAGGTTCAAACCCTCACCACCCTGCAGTACTTGGGGGGGGGGAGAAGAAGGGGGCGCCCAGGGAGGCTTTTAAAGGACTTGACTGCCCACCCCACAGCCCCAGGCCCACCCAGCTCTCAGAAAGCTTGGGGAGCCAGGTGCCTGTTACTCAGGAGGCCGAGATCTGAGAATCATGGGTTCGAAGCCAGCCTGAGACAGCGAACCACCGCCGAAACGGAAGTGGAGCCAGCGCTTAAGTGACAGCAGGCTGGACGTGAGTAAGCTCAGGGGCAGCACCGGGCTCCAAGCCCCGCGACCCGCACAAAAGCAAGTCTAAAACATAACCGGGGACCGCCTTCCAGACGGAAGTGGACCCCTTCCTCACAAGCAGCAGGCAGGGCACCTCCAGGCTCGCCGGCGACCCGCAGTGCACCCGAGGGCGGGCCCCCGGACTGGCAGCGGCCTGTAGCCCCGGGCTGACGTCCGGCCGCGACCACCAGCGGCCACCAGCCGCAGACGGCGCGGGGGGGGGGGCGGGGCGGAGCCAGAAAGCGGAAGTGCTCCGCTTCCTTCCGGCCGGCGCCGCACGAGACGGGGCGGTGCAGCGCGAGCGAAGGCGGGGGCCTCCCCTTGATGGACAGCTCTCGGGACCTATGAATGCAGCCGCGGCGGGCCCAGCCTCTGCCTCTCCCGGCGCGCCCACCTTAAGCTGCCGACGCCCCCCGCCCGTCTATTCCGCCGCGGGTTTTGCACCGCGCTTCGTGGGAGCGGGACCCGGACGCGGGTCCGCCCCGTGGCGTTTCGGAGGAAGACCGTCTTGCGGCCACGCCCCCCCTCCCGCGCGACCCTCCCCTGGCCGCCCGCCCGCCCGAACCGCACGGCGGCGGCGGCCTCTTCCCCTTCCCCTTCTCGGGATCGCGCGCGCGACCGCGGGGCGCGGAGGCCGCAAGTCCGGGACTGCGTGTCGGGACCCGAGGGTGAGTGCCGGCGCCGGGGCAGCCACGGGAGGCGGGGAGGCCCCCACGGAGGCAGGGAGGGGGCGAGCGGCCGCACGCGCGCGCGCACCGCACACACACACACACCTGGCGAGTTTTAGGGCCGCCTCGCCCCGTGCGTGTGGAAGGGGGACAAACAGACGGACCGGCGGGCGGACGGACGGACCCAGCGCGCGAGTGTCCGGGGAGATGGGAGGACGGGGGGCGGGGGGGTCCGGCTGGGCGGGAACTCGGAGTGTTGCAACTTTGCAAAACGACCTGTGGTCAGCTGCTCGCTTGCTGCACTGGGGGGGAGCTAGACTGGACACCCCACCCCCAGCCTCTTGCTGTCACGGAACTGGATCGAGCCCTTAGACTCGTAGCCTCTCCCTTAGGATGTGTCTGATGGGTCCTCCAGATGGGGCGGGGTGGGGGGAGCTCAGGGGTGTGGAACTCGGTTGCTCTGCCCAGCCCTGCCTAGGGATGCTCAGAACTAAGCTGAACACTGGGTGAGTACAGAATTGTTCTCAGGATCCCTTTGCAAACTTTTGTTGTTGTAAATGTCGGTCCTGGGGCTTGAACTCAGGGCTCGGATGCTGTCCCTGCGAGTCCTGCGCCGCCCCAGGCTAGCAATCTACCACCTGAGCCACATCTTCCCTTCTAGGTTTTTTGCTGGTTTAATGGAAGGTAAAGAGTCCCTTGGATTTTGCTGCCCGGGCTGCCATGGAACCACGATCTTCAGATCTCAGACTCTTAAGTAGTTAGGATGACAGCAGGGAACCACCGGCGCCTGGCTTCCTTTGCACACGTTTTAAGGGGGCATTTCTTTTTATTTGCTGGGGCGACTTTTTCTTTTTTTTTTTTTTTTGTAGTTCGTGCAACTAGCGCAGTCTGCATTCACAGTTTACAGTTTGCTGGCTTTCTGTCTTAATAACGTTATCATGGATGCATTGAAAACTCCACTCCTTAAAAGAAGACAGCTGCAAAATTAGGTGGTGTGGGTGTCTATGTGTGCTTGGGCTTGAATTCAAATCAAGGCTTGGGGGCTATCCCTGAGCTTGCTTTTCCATTCAAGGCTGGCACTACTATTTGAGCCACAGTTCCACTTCTGGCTCTGTGGGGTGTGTGTGTGTGTGTGTGAGTGTAAGAGTCTCATAGACTTTTCTGCTTGGGTTGGCTTTGAACCATGATCTTTAGACCTCAGCCTCCTGAGTAGCTAGGCTGGACAGGCATGAACCAGTGGAGTCTGGCATAAGTTGTTTATCTTTAGGTACCTGGAAGTGTAGGTCTTGATGAGCTATCAACACAACCCTGGCTAGCTACGGGTCTAATAAATAATTAGTAAAACGCTATTCATTATTCAGAGTGAAGCAAGATGTTCCAGGGACTGGAACCGGCTTACTCATTGCCACCACACCCCCGCCTCCCACTCCCAGCTTCCAAACTCAGCTTCTACTCCCCATGGTGACTCCCACTGCTGCTCCCTGAGCTAGCAGCTGCCCTGATTGGCAGGTGTGTGCATGCACACACACACATACACACTTATTCACCTACCCATCTTCCTAGATGGCCTGACGTTTGCATGGAGAATTGTTTGCAACAAGACAGGTGTTAAAATTCAGATATCTGAAACAAAACAATGTTTCTGTGCTTCAAAAATCCAGATAACTGTTGTACTGTTGAATCAGTTGCTTCCATGGAGGTCCCACGTGGCCATATCTGTAGGAGATGCAAAAGTGCTCCTACTGCAGGTGTCCATGGCTCACTCCCGTCATCCTGCCTACTCAAGAGGCTGAGATCTGGGGATTGTAGTTCAGAGCCAGCCTGGGAAAGAAACTCTATGAGACTCTTATCTCCAGTTAGCCAGTGAAAAGCTGGAAGTGGAGCTGTGGCTCAAGTAGTAGAATGCTAGCCTTGAGCCAGGTGGGAGCTTGGGGCCCTGAGTTCAAGCCCTATAAATGACATTTTAAAGAATAGTGAGGCTGATACTGGTGGCTCACACCTGTCATCCTTAGCTAATCAGGAAGCTGAGATCTGAAGATTGCAGTTTGAAGCCAGCCCAGGCAGGAAAGTTCGTGACACTCTTATCTCTAACTAACTACCAAAAAGCTGCAAGTGGAACTGTGTGGCTCAAGTGGCAGAGTATCAGGCTTGGGTGAAGAAGCCAAATGAGAGTGCCCAGGCCCTGAGTTCAAGACCCAATATGAGCACAAAAATTTTAAAAACAAGGCTGAGTAGAGTGGTAGACATACTTGCCTAGCATGCATGAAGCCCTGGGTTCTATTCCTCAGTATCAAATAAACAGAAAAGGCTGGAAGTAGCACTGTGGCTCAAGTGACAGAGTGTTAGCCTTGAGCAAAAGAAGCTTAGGGACAATGCCCAGGCCCTGAGTTCAAGCTCCAGGACTGGCAAAAAAAAAATTAAACTAAAAATTAAAAAGGGGGGGGGGCAGGGGGAGTATTAGTTGTGGAAATGGGAGGGAAGAGATGGTAGGGGAAAAACAAAGGAGGAGACAACAATGCTTGATAAGAAATGTACTTATTACCTTGCTCCTGTAACTGTAACCCCCTCTGTACAGTATTTTCACAATAAAAAAAATAAAAGGAGAGATGAGTAGGGTTTGCTGTGGGGAGAATGCCGCCATGGAGATGACCGTTCATTTCTATGTCTTTTGTAGGAGTGGTCAGAAGAACAATGCATATAAGTCTTTGATATCATGATGTACCTCCGGCAAAGGAAAGAGATAAAAACCATTGAACTTTCTGAGGGTTTTCCAGCACAAGAAGAAAATGTGAAGTTGGAAAACAAATTGCCAACTGGTAGGCAGTATAAACAAAAGCTGTGTTTTGAATCACCTTCATTTCTACATTAAAAAAAAAATCACCTTTTTTTTTTCTGTGCCCGGTCGTGAGGCCTGAACTCTGGGCCTGGCTGCTGTCTCTCAGCGCTTCAGCTCAAGGCTAGCGCTCTACCACTTGAGCCACAGCACCACTTCCGGCTTTTTTCTTTTTGCTTATATGGTGCTGAGGAATCAAACCCAGGGCCTCATGAATGCAAACGAAGCAAGCACTCTACCACTGAGCCACCTTCCCAGCCCCAAAAATCACCTTTTAAAAAGAAAAAAAAAAATGTGCTAGTACTGGGGCTTGAACTCAGGGTCTGTATGCTTCCCTTAGCTTTTTTGCTAAAGGTTGATGATATACACTTGAGCCACACCTCTACTTCTGGTTTTTTTGGAGCAAAGAGTCTCACAGACTTTCCTGCCTGAGCTGGCTTTGAAACACTATCCTCAGATCTCAGCCTCCTGAGTAACTAAGATTACAACTGTGAGCCACCACTTCCCTGCTTAATAACATTTTTGTGTGTCTATGTTTTGGTCAAGGAGCTTGAACTTGTCTTGGGCCCTGTCCCTGAGCTTCCTTTGCCCAAGACTAGTGTTCTACCACTTGAGCCACAGTGCCACTTCTAGCTTTTTTTTTTTTTTTGTAGTTTATTTGAGATAAGAGTCTCACAGGGACTTTTCTGCCCACGCTGGCTTCAAACTGTGATCCTCAGATCTCAGCCTCCTGAGTGGCTAGGTGTGAGCCACCAGCATGCTTTTTGACAATGTTTCTGAGGACCTCATGCGAACGTTTTTGTTTTTGTTTTTGCATTACTGGGATTTGAACCCAAGGCTGTGTGATTGCTTGGCTTGCTTGTTTAGATGTAACACTTTAGCCATACCTCCAGCCCAGCTTTTAGCCATTTACTAGAGCTGGAGTTTTACAGACTTTTCTGCACAGACTGACTTAGTGATCCTTGGCTCCCAGCCTCTTTTTGTAGCTAGGATGACAAGCATAAACTACCAGCGCCCAGCTCAAACACCCTTTTGTTTCACTCTTTAAAATTAAAACATAGCTTTGCTTCATTTTACCAAAGTAGTATTTATTCATGTCAAAAAAAAAATACAAAAACCTCTGAAAGCTAAAGTAGGCAAGAAGGAAAATAAGTAACTCTCACAGATTCTTCAAGACTACCACAGATACTGCTTGTTGTTTAAAAGTCACTCTTGGTGGTCAGCACCGGTAGCTCATGCCTGTAATCCTCACTACTCAAGAGGCTGAGATCTAAGGATCACAATTTGAAGCCAGGGAAGTTCATAAAACTCTTATGTCCAGTTAACTACCAAAAAGCCAGAAGTAGAGCTGTAGCTCTCTGCTATTTTTTTTTTTTGGGGGGGGGTCTGGTTATGGGGCCTGAACTCTGGGCCTGGGCGCTGTCCCTCAGCTCTTCAGCTCAAGGCTAGCACTCTACCACTAGAGCCACAGCACCACTTCCGGCTTTTTCTTTTTTTGCTTATGTGGTGTTGAGGAATCGAACCCAGGGCTTCATGCATGCAAGGCAAGCGCTCTGCCACTGAGCCACCTTCCCAGCCCCAGAGCTGTAATATGGTAGAATGCCAGCCTTGAGCGAAAAAGATCAGCACATGTACAAAAAAAGTCATTCTTGGTATATGTAAACTATAAGGATTCATAGGTATTTTTAAAGATGGAAGCCCATGTGCTGCTCTGAAAGTTATTACTTTTCTTTTTTCTTCTTTTTTCTTTTTTGCCAGTCTTGGAGCTTGAGCTCAGGGCTTTGGGCACTGTCCCTGAGCTTCTTTTTGCCTAAGGCTAGTACTCTACCACTTGAGCAACACCGCCACTTCTGGCTTTTTCTGTTTATGTGGTACTAAGGAATTGAACCCAGGGCTCCATATAAGCAAGACAAGCACTCTACCACTAAGCCCTACTTTTCTTATATATCATCAGTCAGATACATTTTTATGTATCATAAAATCAGGATACATTTTATAAGATTGTATAATATCATATTGTGTGGCAGGGCTCCTATCTACTCAGGAGGCTGAGAGTGGAGGATCAAGGTTCAAAGCCAGCCAAAGCAGACAAATCAAAGTGAGACTTACCTCAGTTAACTAGTGGGGGGGGGGTAAGGGGGAGAACAGAAGTAGAGGTATAGCAACTCAAGCTGTAATATCAGCCTTGAGCAGAAAAAGCTAAACAAGAATGTGAGTCCTTGAGTTCAAGCCTCCTTACCTGCACCCACACAAAGTTGCATAATTTAATTCTTTGTTGCAGAATAGTAAAAGTGTATTTCAAGCTGGGTACTGTTGTTCATGCCTGTAATCCTAACTACTGAGGAAGTTGAGATCTAAGGACTCAAAGCCAGCCCAGGCAGGAATGTCCATGAAACTCTCATCTCCAATTAAGCACCAAAAAAGCCAGAAGTGAAGCCATAGCTCAAGTGACAGCGCCCAGACACTGAGTTCAAGCCTCAGGACTGGCATCTCTAAAAAAATTAGCCTTTTGCTAATATTGACAGAACTGTGGTAAACATCCTTGTCATCCGGTGTTTATTTAGAACTTCAGTTGTCTTCTTAGGAAATTTCTGGTCCAACAGTTGGCTCAGTGCAGGGTGGTGTTGGGTTCCAGAGAAGTACCAATTCAATTTTTCCAGTATCAGTTTTTGAAGATGTCTGTTTATTTATACCCTTTCCTAGACAAGAGTGTTCTCACTTCTAAGCTATCGAATTGGCCAAGGTTTTTTAAAAGTACAGCTCAAATTGTTTTTGATTTGCATTTCTTCAACCCTAGTGAATTGGAATGAATTTGAGGTCCTTTTTCTTCTGTTAAATTTATTGGCCTTTTCTCCCCTCTTTTGTGTGTTGTCTATTCATGTCCTTAATCTGTTTCTTACTGAAATATTCATCATTTTTTATTATCCAGAAATATCTCACACTTAAAGATATTTGAGCTTTCTTATATGTGCTGTAAGCTTTTATGTCCTTTGAGTTACAATGTATTATTTTCTCTGTGTTTTGGGGTTTTGTGCTAGTACTGGGGCATGAACTAAGAGCCCCCTCTTTTAGCTTTTTTTCTCTCAACGCTGGTACTCTCATTTGAGCCATATCTCAACTATGGACTTTTTGGTGGTTAATTGAAAATAGTAGTCTCACAGACTTTTCTGTCCTCATATCTCAGCCCCCTATTCCTAATCCAGGATTATAGGCATGAGCCACCAGCACCCGGCTACATTTTGCTTTTGGAAATGAATGACAGCAGAGGGATGGGGAGACACTATAACCCCACCTGTGGAACCACAGAAAGGAACCTCTCCCAGCGAAGGCTTCATAAATGACAGGCATCTGGGGCTTCAGCTTACTTGAGTCTATAATAGCACTATTCTAAATCACTTACTTGGTTATTAATTTTTCTGTGTCCTTTTTCCAAAAGGTTGTACCAATAGAAAATTCTGGAAGATTCTGTCCTTTACGATCGGTGGCACCATTGCCCTGTGTATTGGACTTCTTACATCGATCTACCTTGCAACCTTACATGAGAATGACTTGTGGTTTTCTAATATTAAGGTATGGGTTTTCTGTGACCATTGTTTTCGCATCCCTGTCTCTAGTAGTTTTCCATGATGGCCAAGACACTGTTTTTGCTATTAAAGAATTCAGCCTGGAACTGGATATGTGGCTCAAACACAATGAGTACCAGCCTAGTAAGCATGAGGCCCTGAGATCAACCCCCAGCATTGAAAAAAATAGATCTATTTTTGTTGTTGTTGTTGGTTATGGGGCTTGAACTTGGGATTTAGGTGCTGTCATTGAGCTGTTTTGCTCAAGGCTAGTACTCTACCACTTTGAGCCACAGCTCTACTTGTGGTTATTAATTGGAGATGAGAGGCTCATAGGGACTTTTCTGCGTAGGCTGACTTTGAACCATGATCCTCACATCTCAGCTTCCTGTGTAGCTAGGATTATGTGCATGAGCCACCAGTGCCCACCATTAATCTCTTAAAAGCTTTGATTCTAGAATAAAAAGGTATTTTCGTTCATTCTGTTTAAATAATATAATTCTTATAAACAAGCCAGGTTTCTTTTTTTTATTAACTTTAGTTATATTGCAGTTAGTCTGAACTGCTGGTGTCTTTCCAACAATGAATTGTGAAATTCATCTAGTAGATTGAGTAATTGTTTTTGTGTAGTAATGTTCCAATACTGGGATTTGAACTCAGGGCTTAGGCACTGACCTTGAGCTTTTCCATTCAAGGCTGGTGCTCTGCTATTTGAGCCACAGCTCCATTTCTGGTTCTTTGGTGGTTCATTGGAGGTAAGAGTCTTACAGACTTTCCTGCCCTGGCTGGCTTTGAACTGTGATCTTCAGATCTCAGCCCTCTGAGTGGCTAGGATTACAGGTGTAAGCGTCATGGACTGACTGAAAATAATTTTTTTTAATTGTAATAAGGAAAACAAAAAAAAATCAAACACCACTGCTCTAAAACATGGAGTCTTTCTCCACCTCTAAGATGGAGTTCTGCATGTCCATATTTTCCTAATAGTATTTGCAAATATTTCGGGATATGCAGAAGCTGTGCTTTCTTTTGAGAAAGGAATTATAAAAAATTTTCACTGGATTTTTCAAGGAGGTCTATTACTCTTCATTTTTATTTATTGATTTATCTATTTATTTACATATTTATTTCGTACTGGTATTGGGGCTTGAACCTAGGGCCTGGGCACTTTCCTTTAGTTTTTTTATTTTAGGGTGGGGAGGGGGGTTCAGTCATGGGCTTGAACTCTGGGCCTGGGCTCTGTCCCTCAGCTCTTCAGCTCAAGGCTAGCACTCTACCACTTGAGCCACAGCGCCATTTCCGGCTTTTTTCTTTTTGCTTATGTGGTACTGAGGAATTGAACCCAGGGCCTCGTGCATGCAAGGCAAGCGCTCTATCACTGAGCCATCTTCCCAGCCCCTCCTTTAGTTTTGTTTTAGTCAAGGCTGGCAGTCTGTCCCTTGAAGCATACCTCCACTTCTGACTTTGTGCTGATTAATGCAGAGAAGAATCTCATGGACTTTCCTCCCTGGTTGGCTTCCAACCTCAGTCCTCAGATCTCAGCTTCTTGAGTAGCTAGGATTACAGGCATGAGCCGTTGGCATCTGGCTCTACCTATCTGCCTGCCTCACTTTCACTGTGGTCATATGGGTCTATGCAGCATGGGGAGGACAGCATACAGGGCAGCTGACCCAAGCTTCTGTTTCCAGTGTTGCCAGTGCTTCAGTACACAGGAATGATGGGTTGAATCATGGCCACAAGTTGGAAACCAGAAAAGTTGGGCTGATTACTTAAGGGCTCGAAGTTCTGCCTTCTAGTCAATGACATGGCCAGCCTCCATCCTGAGTCATCTCTTCAGCATAAAGTAGAGGCTCAGTCTGAGTCACCCTCCTGCAGGAACTGTCAGGTGTGATCTGCACAGCTCATCTATAAATGTCTCTCTTTTTTTTTTTTCCTTAGTGCCATTTTTGAGGCTTGAACTCAGAGCCTCATACTCTTACTCAAGGCTAGCACTCTACCACTTGAGCCATATCTCCACTTTTAGGGAGGTTTTGGCTAGTTAATTGGTGATAAAAGTCTCTCAGATTTGTTTGCCCGTTGTTTGCCCAGGCTGGCTTTGAACAGTGATCCTCAGATCTCAGCCTCCTGAGTAGCTAGGATTACAAGTGTGAGCCATGAGTCTAGCAATGATGGCTCTTACTGTTCAGAAATCCTGAGTATTTCAAAGCTACCATCCCCACCAGAAGCTTAGGACAAAGAATAGTAAGGTCACCACCTGAGCCCCAGAAAGTTAGGACAGTCAGGTTCTTGGGGTTTTTTGGTGCCACTCCTGGGGCTTGAGCTCAGGACCCAGGTGCTTGTCCTGAGCTATTTTGCTCAAGGATAGCACTCTACCACTGGAGCCACAGTTCCACTTCCAGCATTTTTGGTGCTTAATTGGGGTCTCATGGATTTTTTTTTTTTTTTTGCCCAGGCTGACCTTGAACCATGATTCGTAGCTCTCCGCCTCCTGAGTAGCTAGGGTTACAGGCATGAGCCACCAGCGCCTGGCCTGTTTGTTTTGTTTTCAAAGACAGCATATCCCTATGTGGCCTGAGGTAATGTCTCTCCTGCTATCTCTGCCTCCTGACTGCTTGGGATTAGCAGTGACAGGCCCGAGCCACAGTTCCTGGTTAGATTCCTTTATTCTACTGAATGCAAGGCAGAAATTGATGAGTTCAGGTTCAGCTAGCTCTGCAGGGAGGCACTTCCAAAGCAGTGACAGGGAGTAACAGAAGCTTGGGTTGACAGCTCCAAAGGCAGAAATTGCATCTGTGTCAGAAATGGGCATTTTCCTATTAGCAGCTTGTAGGTGCGTAGGCGAGATTGTTTCAGAAGTGCCTTGAAGGAGAGGAGCAAGAGAGCCCAGGCCAGTTTCTGTCTGGGCCTCCTATGCCATCTGAGAAGCTGAAGAACGACCACATGCCCCAGCAGGTTCCATCCTGCCTACCACCCACCCCCTAGAAGCAACAGCAAAGCAGCAGGGCCTCCTTGAGTTTCCCCCCTTCTTTCAAACAGTACCAAGCTCCTACCCAGGACAGCCATATGTGAGGCTTAGAGGTTATCTCCTGGGACCCAGGGACGAAGGCCAGCCAAATTCCTTGTGTCCTAAGGGAGAGTCTGGGCACTGTCCCCTTAACTCTTTTTTTTTTTTTTCCTCAAGACTGGTGCTCTACCTTTTGAGCCACAGCTCCACTTCCTTTTTTTTTTTTTAATGATCATTGCAGGTAAGAGTGTCGTGGATTTTCCTTCCTTGGGCTGGCTTCAAATTATGATCCTCAGATCTCAGCCTCCCATCCTCAGATATCTGCCACCAGTGCCCAGCTGTTTATTTAATACTTAGTGGTACTCAGGTTTGCACTGAGGGCCTCATGTTTGCCAGGCAGGTACGCTTCTACTCGAGGCACATCTCCAGCCTTTTATTTTATTATTTTTATAGAGTTTTTCAGACTTCCCTGCCTGGGCTAGCTGCAAACTTAGATCTTCTGATCTCAGCGCCCTGAGTAGCTGAGATTATAGATGTGAGCCACCAGTGCCTATCCCAGCCTGGCTGAGTTAGGTGGTTTCTAATTGTGTTGTGAAGCTCTTAACTGATGTTTACTTCTCACTTTAAAGTGACAATGTAAACATGTCACTCCCTCCCTCTCTTGGAATTGCCTCCAAGCAATTAAGGAAAGTGAAGATAGTCAGATGCTATCTTTCCCTTCTTTTCTTCTTTCCTTCCATCCCACCCCCCCTTTGTTTCAGCCCAGAGTCTGCAAAATGCTAGTAAGCTTTGTTGCACCACAGCCCCACACCTTCAGCCCCATTGTGCCTCACTGAGAAAGTTGAGAGTATCACTGAGAAAGTTGAGAGAGTTCTGTAATCTAAAGAGTAACCAGTCCAATAACAGTCACAGAGTATAAAAGATACTGACAGCCAGGTACAGTGGCTGATGCCTGTCAACCTAGCTACTCAGGAGGCTGAGCTCTGAGGCCTTCTTTACAAAGCCAGCCTGGGCAGGAAAGTCTGTGAGACTCGTATGTCCAGTTAACTACCAAAAAGCTGCAAGTGGACCTATGGCTGGCTCAAATGGTAGCGCACTATCCTTGAGCAAAAAGCCCCAGTACTGGCATTTAGGCACGTGTGTGTGTGTGTGTGTGTGTGTGTACTCACACACACGCCCCTCAGACCAAATGCTTAGACCAAACTCTATAGGGAAATAAGGAGATCCAGTAGGATTTTCAGGGATCATGACAAATTCTTCATCTCCTGGGCTGATACTAGAGTCACTAAGAGGATGTTTTTAATTCACATAGCCAACCCAGAGCTTGTGTTGTTCCTAGGGTTGTTTATTTAACACTGCCAAGGATGTACCAGCAACACGTGGGAAAAAGTAAAAAGTGCACACATTGGAGAGGAAGAAGTAAAATGATTTCTTTGCAGATTATGTGATTATATATCAGGAGCTCCCAGAAGAATCATCTGGAAAACCATTACAAGCAATAAAGTTCAGTCAGTTGCAGGATACAACATTAGATGCACAAGAAAGGAAAACATTGTATTTTAGTATTTGTCAAATGGAAATTCAGAGACAGCGCGCCAGTATGCCTGGAACTCGTTCAGCTGCTGGCTCCCAGCTGTCCTGGCTACAGGTGTAACATGCCATTCTCTATACCCTCTACAGACCTGCCCTCATCCTCACCCCTCAGATCTGGCTTTGTATTCACTGTTCAGGCTTCCACACTGCACTGGCCTGTGTCCACTATCCTACCTTTTGCCTAAGTCCATTGTTAATTTTCTTTTCTTTCCTTATTTTTTACTAGTACTAGGGCTTGAACTGGAGGCCTTGTCACTACCTCCTTAGCTTTTCGCTCAAGGCTAGTGCTCTACCATTTGAGCCACCCCTCCACTTCCACCTTTTGGTGATTAATTGGAGATAAGGGTCTCATCTGACTTTCTTGCCCCAGCTGGGTAGAAAATGTAGTCGTCATCTCTCTACCTCATGCTGGGTGCTGGTGGCTCATGCCTATGATCCCAGGTACTCTGGAAACTTGTACATATCAAGTCCAAGTCCAGAGCTTGTCACCAACCAGGACCAGGTGATGTGATTGCACACTTCTTCTCTGTCTTCTCCCTTCCCCTTCCCCACCTCCTTCTGACCTTACTGACTACCCTTTCTGTCCCCCACTCAGGCTGACTGCCCTCACTGTTCAGGGTGACTGAAGCTAGGAGCAGAGAATTTTGTCTTCGCTTCTGAATCTCCCAGCTGAAAAATGTTTACCACATGATAGTTGTCCATAGCTATTTATTTATTTATTTATTGGTTGGTCGTGGGGTTTGAACTCTGGGCTTGGGCACTGTCCCTGGGCTCTTCAGCTCTAAGCGAGCGCTCTACCACTTGAGTCACAGCGCCACTTCCGGTTTTCTAGTGGTTTATTGGAGATAAGAGTCTCACGGACTTTCCTGCCCGGGCTCGCTTTGAACCGTGATCCTCAGATCTCAGCCTCCTGAGTAGCTAGGATTACAGGTGTGAGCCACCAGTGCCCGGCTTATTTATTTATTTTTGTCAGTTGTGGGGCTTGAACTCTGGGCCTGGGTGATGTCCCTGACCTCTTCAGTTCAAGGCGAGAGTTCTACCACTTCAGGCACAGTGCCATTTCTGGTTTTTCTGGTGGTAAATTGGAGATAAGAGTCTCACAGTCTTTTCTGCCAGGGCTGGCTTTGAACTGTGATCCTCAGAGCTCAGCTTCCTGAGTGGCTAAGATTACAAGGGAGAGCCACTGGCTCCTGGCTTCAATAGGTATTTAATCAATAGATGGATGAGTGAAAGGAGAGGATGGATGGATGGTTGAATGGATGACATAAGTGGATGGGAGGGAGGGAGGAAGGTTGAAGGATAGATAGATGGATAAATGGAAAGAAGAATGGATGGATGATTAGAATGATGGATATAGATTGATGGATGAATGGATGGAAGGAAAGAGAAAGGATGGATGGATGGAAAGAAAAGATGGGTAGAATAGATGTATGACAGAATGATAAACATAGATGCATACTTAGATAGATAAATGGAGGGATGGATTAATGAATGAGGAAGACAAATGGAAGAAAAGCATGGAACGGAGTTGGGGAGCTACATTACCAGCTGAAGCAAGGATTGATTTATTCTGTACCTCTGGCAAGGATGTTCCCTTGCTCTGTCATTTTCCTTTGTTTCCCATGCATTGTTCTTTCTTATTCAGACATCACATAAACTCCTTGGGATCCTAACACATTTTTGTTTCTCCGGCAAACAAATGTTGAAATAAAATGATGAAGGAAGGTAATTCCTTCCCATAGCTTTTTTTTTTTTTCCCCTAGTCTTTTTTCCCTAACATTTGGCACTGTCGCCCTCATACTGAATGGTTGGTTGCTGCAAATTTTTACTGCAAAATTTTACATCCTTCCGCAAAGCTAGGTCTATCTGGAATCAATAAGGTTAATGTGTCCAGAAGTATAGCAACAGCAGCTGCACAGGTAGCACACAGACAACTGCTTCTTGGGAGGCTCAGAGGAGGTCCCGTCACCAGAGCCAGCATCTAACCCATTCATCGGCACGGCCTGGCAGCTCTCACGTGTCACAGCTCTAATCAGCTCTAGGGCAAGAATCCCTCCATTCTAACAGATGGACGTGAGTTTAACCAGACAATGAACCATGTATGCGCCATAAATATGTTTGCTGAGGGCATGATTTTTCAGCACAGAACTTTTAAGAGCAGCTGTCTTATCATGAGCCCCCGATTCTTCACAAGATGATTTGTGAACCTAATTCAGAAACAGATAACATTCATAAAGTTAATTGTCCATTTGGTTTCCTTCATGCCAGCCACCTAATTATTGGGTTGGGGGAGAGTAGGAGGGAGGGAGTTTTATAAATAAACATATATATATATATATATATATATATATAATTTTTTTTTAAAGCTGATTTGAGTCAGGTGCTGGTGGCTCACACCTGTCATCCTAGCTACTCAGGAGGATGAAATCTGAGGATAATGGTTCGAAGCCAGCCCAGACAGGAAAGTCCATGAGACTTTTTTCTCCAATGAACCACCAAAAAGCCAGAAGTGGAGCTGTGGCTCGAGTAGTAATAGACCACCAAACTTGAGGAGAAAAGGAAAAGGGACAGCAGAAGTTCCCAAGCCCTGAGTTCAAGCCCCAGTACCAGCACGAAAATAAATAAGCAAAATGTTAAAAAAAATAATTTGATGTTTCCAAATCTAGTGCCATTTGTCTAAAAGAGCTTGTTAACCTTTTGTGCATTGCCAGCAACTTGCTTTATAGCCTGTGTGAGATGCAAGTCGTTTACTGTGAATAGCCATTATTTTTCCTTGCAGCCTTCCTTTAGTACTTAAATTGCTGTATAAGCTACTTACTGCTTCAGTGGTTCCACTGTACAGTTCTTAAAAAAAATATATGGTTCTTTTGTCTATCCACTTCTGTCATTATCTGCTGAGACATTTTCTGCTCTCTCAATAAGCCTGGGAACCCATGAAAATTAAAATGTGGCGTAATTGTTCGTTTTGCATTCTGTCAAGGGTGACTTCTATTGATGTACATTTCTATGGGCATGATCCACCAGGCAAGGGATAAATTGCCTTAAAACTGGAACAGTGTTTGTGGAAAGCAGATGTTGTCTTCGCATGAGGCAGATGTGACACTTGCAAGTGTCTGTCTAATAAAGTTTAGCATTTGGTTCTCTGCAGCTGGTGCCACAATCACCAATTAATCATGTTTGAATGCATTTTTTACTAATTAGATCCCCCTCTGTTTTTTACTGTTCTGGATATATCAAATGGAGGACGAGGGCACAAAACCTTTCTGCTTTTAGAACTGGGAGCAATTCTTTCTCTCATCTTTGTAAGACTATATTATTTTTGGAATCATATAGGAACCAGAGTCCATAGATGTACCTAACCAAGTTGACTTGGTTAGTAAGTCTTGAAGATTTAGCATTAGGATTTTTTCCATTGGAGGCTTCTTGCTCTCATTTGGCTTTTTCACTTTTCACTCCAGGCTGGTACTCTGCCCCTTGAACCATAGCTCCACTTCCAGCTTTTTGCTGGTTAATTGGATGTAAGAGTCACACAGACCTTTCTGCCTGTGCTGGCTTTGAAAAGGAATCCTTCAGATCTCAGCCTCCTGAGCAGCTAGTATGACAGGTATGAGTCACTAGCACCCAGCCCAGTTTAGTTTTAACTTGTGTGAAATAGCAGAACATTAAATCTGAACTGTCAGTATAACTGGAGCTAATTATTAGTTATCTCCATTTTAAATCATGACTTATAATGGAAAAAAAAAACAGCCAGGCGCCAGTAGCTCATGTCTATACTCCTAGTTACTTAGGAAGACTAAGATCAGAGGATCATCGTTGGAAGCCAGCCCAGGCAGGAAAGTCTGTGACACTCTTACTCCAACTAACCAGTAAAATGCCAGAAGTAGAGCTGTAGCTCAAGTAGTAAAGTACTAGCCTTGAGCAAAAAAGCTCAGGGATAGCATCCAGGCCCTAAGCTCAAGCCTCAAGACCAGCACCATTTTGAAGGATGGAGGGAGGGAAAGAAGAACCCACAGTAGAAGGAATAATATGGGGACAGGCTCCAAGTATCTATCATCCAGCTCTTAACACTCATCAGTCTTCCGGGAATCTCTTTTTTTTTTTTTTTCAAGATTCTGAGGATTGTAATTGCTGTTTGTTTTTCTTTTGAGCTGCAGTCTCCTGCTTCTACAGTGACAATATGTGTTTAAACCAAACTAGGTCAACTCTCCTTTTATTTCAGGAAGTGGAGCGAGAAATCTCATTCAGGACTGAATGTGGACTGTACTATTCTTACTATAAGCAGATGCTACAAGCACCAACCCTCACACAAGGTAATCGTAGCCCGTAGATCTATTTAGGGTCTGTTGCCCTCTTCCCAATATTTTAGTCAAAGCATACATGGCACTAAAGCATTTCAGTGGGGTTTTTGGGGGTTTTTTTTGTTTTATCAGTTGTGGGCCCTGAACTCTGGGCCCTGGGCACTGTCCCTCAGCTCTTCAGCTCAAAGCTAGTGCTCTACCATTTGAACCACAGCGCCACTTCCAGTTTTCTGGTGGTTAATTGGAGCTAAGAAGCTCACAGACTTTCCTGCATGGGCTGGCTTTGAACCATGATCTTCGGATCTCAGCCTCCTGAGAAGATAGGATTACAGGCATGAGCCACCAGCTCCTGGCATGGATTTCAATGTTTTACAGAACTAGTGTTAATTTTCCTCTGAACTTAGGTAGCATTAGATTTAAAAGGTAGTGTTAGAGCCAGGTACGTGGGTAACTCACTCCCGTAATACTAGTTACTCAGGTAGCCGAGATCTAAGAATCACTTCCAAACCAGCCTGGGCAGGAAAGTCCATCAAACCCTTATCTCTAGCCACCAAAAAGCCAGAAATAGAACTATGGCTTAAGTGGTAGAGCACCAGCCTTGAGTGAAAAAGCTAAGGGACAGCACCCAGCCCTTGAGTTCAAGCCCTAGTATGGGCATTAAATCAACAATGATCACACTGCTGCTAACAGTGTGATTACCTGAAATTACAAGTAATAATTTTTCCTGATTTTTCATATATCATTCTTAGGTTTCCGTGGCTTAATATATGATAATAAAACTGAATCTCTGAGGACCATTAACCTCCTTCAACGAATGAATATTTACCAAGAGGTTTTTCTCAGCATTTTATATAGAGTTCTACCAATTCAGGTAATATTGTAGTTTGTGTCACTGAATTGTTAATGTTGGATAAAAGTCAAAGTCTGCTCTTTGGATCAGAAAGGTTCCATTGGGCAATTCTGATCTTCCACAGGCTTGGGAGAATATCAGCAATAGCCTAGTTTTCTCTACTTATATCATGAACTTTGATTTCTATACAGTAGTGCTTTTTTGCTTATCTTTTATAAGTTAAAAGATTTTTCATAGGAAATCAGCAGTACCCTAGTTTTCTTCATGTGTGTTAGAAACCTTGATTTCTACAAGATACTGCTTTTTATGTTTTTGTATGTTAGCAGTTTTTTCTTTAGAGATGCTTCCTGTCATACACCACAATAAATGTGTACAGTTTACAAGATGATAAATACTCATTTTTTATTTATCTGTAAGTAGTTGAACAACAAGTTTCAATTCAACATATCAATTTATAGGTACAGTGCATCTTGATGAGTATCACTCTTTCATCCTTCTCCTCATCTCTCCCAACCCCACCCAACCCCTGGTTCCGTTTTCATGTTTATACATTGAGTTGCATGACTATGTTTTTCTTTTTTTGGGGGGGTCCGGTCGTGGGGCCTGAACTCTGGGCCTGGGCGCTGTCCCTCAGCTCTTCAGCTCAAGGCTAGCGCTCTACCATTTGAGCCACAGCGCCACTTCCGGCTTTTTTCTTTTTGCTTATGTGGTGCTGAGGAATCAAACCCAGGGCCTCATGCAAGGCAAGACAAGCGCTCTACCACTGAGCCACCTTCCCATCCCGACACAGATATTTTTTTGTTTGTGTTCTGTTTTGTTTTAGTACTGGTAATGCAGCTTGAATTCAAAGCCTAGGAATTGTCCTTGAGCTTTTTCACTCCAGGCTAGTGCTCTACGACTTGAGCCACAGCTCCATCTCTGCCTTTTTGGTAGTTCATTGGAGATAAGACTCTCATAGACTCTCCTGCCTAGACAGGCTTCCAACCATGATCCTCAGATCTCAGCCTCCTGAGTAGCTAGGATTATAGACATGAGTTACCAGTGCCCAGCCTGACATACTTTTTAACCGGCAATGGAAGAGGCTTCTCTGACAAACATTTTAATTCTCTCTTACAGCGATACTTAGAGCCCGTTTACTTTTATATCTATACCTTATTTGGACTCCAAGCAATCTATGTCACAGCCCTCTACATCACCAGCTGGCTCCTTAGTGGCACCTGGCTCTCAGGACTATTAGCAGCCCTCTGGTATGTCACAAACAGGTGAGTTGGAATCCGGCTGCCTTTCTCCCTTCATTTTCAGTGCAGAACAATTTCTACTAGCGTATTTGTTTGTTGGGGAGCATTTTCTCTCAGTGGACCTAGTTGATTTACTCAAGTCTTCTTGTTTGGTCAGATAAGAAGGCCTACTTAGACATATTTCCGGATGAGAAGTGGAACACTGAATGGGGGATCAATAAGGAAACTATGTGTAGTAAAGTAATCCCAATTCTTTACCTGTTTGCTCCTTGAGCCATAGTTCTTCAGCCACATTCTCTCATCTCTTGAAGACTTAAAAAGTCTTCATCATCATTCTTTTCTTTTCTTTTTTTGATGCTTGAACTCAGAACCTGGGTGTTGTCCTTGAGCTTTTTTACTGAAGGCTGGAGCTCTACCACTTAAGTCACAGCTTCACTTCCAGGTTTTGGTGATCAGTTGGATAAGAGTCTCAGGTGTTGGGTGCTGGTGGCTCTTGCCTATAATTCTAGCTACCCAGGAGGCTGAGATCTGAGGATCATGGTTCAAAGCCAGCCTGGGCCACCTAAAAATTTGGAAGTGGAGCTGCAGCTCAAAGCAGTAGAGCACTATCCTTGAGCAAAACTCAGGAAGAGTATACCCAGGCCCTGAGTTCAAGCCTCAGAAGAAAAAAAGGAGCTGGGCAGCAGTGGCTCACACCTGTAATCCTAACTACTCAGGAGGCTGAGATCTGAGGATCATGGTTCAAAGCCAGCCCTGGCAAGAAAGTCCATGAGACTCTAATCTTCAAAAATCCACCAGAAAACTAGTGGTACTGTGGCTCAAGTAGTAGAGCACTTTCCTTGAGCTGAAGAGCTGAGGACAGCACACCGGCCCAGAGTTGAAGTCCCACAACTGACAAAAAAAAAGAGTCTCAGAGACTTTCCCGCTCCGCTGGCTTCAAACCACAAATCTCAGATCCTAGCCTCCTGAGTAGCTAGGATTCCATATGGGAGCACGTAGTACCCAGCAAAGGTGTGAGACTCTTAATTTCAGTTAACTAACAAAAAGCTGAAAATGGAAATGGCCAAAGGGACTGATAATTATGGTGGTAGTGGTATTGATGATATCAATGACAAGTATTACTAAGAATCAGTGACCAGAATCTAAGCCTATTTGTAACCTATCTTTCACTCTAAGAAATCTTTGAGGAAATGATTAAAAAGCTGTCATTTGGGCCTTTATGTTTTCTCTGTGCAGGATAGATACCACAAGAGTTGAATTCACCATCCCACTGAGGGAGAACTGGGCACTGCCATTCTTTGCAATTCAGATCGCAGCAATTACTTATTTCCTAAGGCCAAATTTACAGGCTCTTTCCGAAGTAAGTTTCTGATGACTAGTTTGTTCAACCTGTGTATTCTTTTTCTTTCAACAGTACTAGGATTTGAACTAGGAACTTCACCCTGTGCTAGGCAGGTGCTGTGCAGTATGAGCCACACCTCCAGCCCTGAATCAAGTTGCTGTGAACCTTTCTCTGTTTTCCTCAGCTCCCCAGTTTGACTTAGGAAGCATAGAGTTGAGCATGTAGACCAGGTAGCTCACACCTATAGTCCTAGCCACTCAAGAGGCTGAGATCTAAGGCTCACAGTTTAAACCCAGCCCAGGCAGAAAGTCTATGAGACTCTTATCTCCAAGTAAGCATCAAAAGTTCCAGAAGTAGAGCTACAGCTCAAGTGGTGGAATGCTAGCCTAGAATTTAAAAAAGCTCATTAACAGTGCACCCAGGCCCTGAGTTCAAGCCTCAGGGCCAGCACCAAAAAGAAAAAAAAAAGAAGCTTAGAAAAATGTGATATAGGGGCTGGGAAGGTGGCTCAGTGGTAGAGCGCTTGCCTTGCATGCATGAGGCCCCGGGTTCGATTCCTTAGCACCACATAAGCAAAAAGAAAAAACCCGGAAGTGGTGCTGTGGCTCAAGTGGTAGAGTGCTAGCCTTGAGCTGAAGAGCTGAGGGACAGCACCCAGGCCCAGAGTTCAGGTCCCATGACCGGACCAAAAAAAAAAAAGAAAAATGTGATATACATAGTGTTCCAATCCATGTGAACAGTTTGTGTTCCATGACTGAATGTTTCACTGGAGTTAAAGTTTGCTTTCTCTGAGCTTTTCTTTCTTTGCAAAGAAAGTTTTCTTTCTTTCTTTCTTTGAATGTTAAGAAATGTGGCCCCGCATAGTCTACCCTTAAATAGCTACAGCAAAGCCCACACACAATTTCTGTGCAACTGTCAGGATTTTTAAGCCTCTGCTCTTGAGCTGTGATTTGGTACATGATCGCCTCCAGAATCCTGTGGAATACACATACCGTATGTGAATATTTATATGCAGAGTGTCACTTGAGAATGTTCAGAATTTAAGAAATGCAGGGGTTTTCAGAGCAACAGTTAACAGTTTTGCTATTTGGTTCATAGAGATATGGGCTGCTTTTGAGAAAACTTGTCTACAGAGCTGTTTTATTCCTAGAGACATGTTAGTTATACCCAGGTTTTTCTTTCTCTTTTTTCTTTAACAGAGGCTGACGCTTCTTGTGGTCTTCATATCAACTTTCCTCTTCAGTCTGACCTGGCAATTTAATCAGTTTATGATGCTAATGCAAGCGTTAGTGCTATTCACCCTCGACTCCCTGGATATGCTACCAGCTGTAAAGGTGTGTCTCATTTACCTCTTCTTCCTTTTTGGACAATCTTGTGGGTTAGCATTTTAAGTCACCGAGAGAAACCAGGTGCTGGTGACTCACACCTGTAATCCTAGCTACTGAGGAGGCTGAGATCTCTAGGTTGAGGTTCAAAGCCAGCTCGGGAAGGAAAGTCTGTGAGACTCTTATCTCCAATTAAGTACCAAAAAAAGCCAGAAGTGGAACTGTAGCTAAAGTGGTAGAGTGCCATTTTTGAGCAGAAAAGGCCATGGAAGAGCACGAGGACCTGAGTCCTCAAACCCCAGTACCAGTACCAAAAATAGTAATATGGGGCTGGGAAGGTGGCTCAGTGGTACAGCGCTTGCCTTGCATGCCTGAGGCCCTGGGTTCGATTCCCCAGCACCA